AAAAAAAAAAAAAAAGAACCAAAGAAAGAGACTTAACTGCCCCTCCCTCCGGGTTCCAGGCCACGAAACATCCATCCATTTATTCATTCATTCATTCATTCATACTTGCATGATTGAATGACATGTGTATTAAATATCTAATATGTATTAGGCACTGGTTCTAGTCCCTGAGAATACAGCAATGATCAAGGAGAAGTCACTACTTTCATAAAGCTTATCCACTAGGGCTATAGAATATAAACAAGCAAATATATAATACCAGATACTTTTCATTGCTGTGAAGAAATATACAGCAGTGATAGATATTTGGAGGGTGATCAGGGAAGTCCTCTCTAAGGAGGAGGGACCTGAATGGAGTAAGGAAGTGAGCCATAAGAATGTCTAGGGCACATGCTGCAGGTAGATGGGTCAGGGCAAAGGATCTAGGGGATCTTGTCAGTCTCTGCTTGGTATCCCTGGCCAACAGCCAGAAAAGCAGAGGCACGTTACAGATCATGCACCTAAAGCCCATTAAGTTTTACTTGGGGTGACGGGCTCCTCAAAGCAGTGCACCTTCATAACTGTATACTACATCTGTACTTAAACTTCGAGCTGGATTCTTATCCCAGCCCTTAAACCTGGATCTCCGCAGCTTTCTTCCAACCCCTGTATCTGCTTCAAAACTCTGGTCCTTTTTCAAAAAAACAAAAAAAAATTCGGACTACCATTTTTATTTTGTTTGTATTATAAAACAAATATGGAGTTCTTACCATGTAGCAGGTAGTGTTCAAAACACTTCAAAAATATTAATTCACTGAATCTACATAATAGCCTTATCACATAGGTATGATAATTAGTCCCTCTGTACAAAAAAAATGAAGCACAGAAAAGTTAAAAAAAAAATTGCCAAAGGTCACATAGCTACTAAGTGGTAGAACCAGGACTCTCAGTATAAGATGTTCAGATATTAAAGATAATTCTCAGTATAAGATGTTCAGATACTACAGATAAAGCCAAAGGCCTGCTTATATCCCCACCCGGGTCCCAGCCGCCTTCCTGTCCCTGTTAGCCCTTGTGGGTAACCATCGAAATAAAGTTTTTACACTGGCACAACATACTGGGTTCGGTTTGGTTGACTTTATTTTGTTTTTGTCTGTTTTTTAAAAACAAATAGCACTATACTGTATTTCTTTTTCTAGGCGTTGTTTTTATCACCCACCAAACGTTCTGGAGTTCCTTCCACGTCAGTACATATGAATGCACTTATTCTTTCTAACTACTGCAGATCCTGCAGCATGGGCACACCAACATTTATCCATCCATTCCCCTGAGGTTAAATGCCAGTTTTCACTACCATAACAAGAAGGCAAGGAACAACCGTGAGTAGGCATCCTTACGCACATCCATGTGCAAGTAATTTTCCCGAGCAGACTCCCAGTAGCAGAGCTGCTGAGTCATAGCAGCTCTCTTATTTTTAACAGGCCCCATCAAACGGCCCTCCAAACGACTATGCTAATTTACACTACTACCAGCCATATTTAAAAGAACCAATTTTCCACCCCATCTGCCAACTCTTGGCACTTTCAGACTTCGATTTCTTATAATCCAGTGGGTGGGAAATGATTTCTCTTTGTTGTTTTCATCTGCACTGCCCTAATTACTAATGACATCGAGCATCTCTTCATGTGCTTATTAGCCACTTGTATTTCCTCTTCTAGGAACTGCCCGTCTCGGTATCCTTTGCCCATTTTCCACAGAGCCACTTGTCCTTTGTTCTTGGTTTTTTATTATGTACCCATATTCACACTGGCAAATGTTTTCTCCTAGTCGGCTGCTTGCCTTTTAGCTTGGTTTTATGATCCCCACTTCTCTCCTGCTCTTACTGAGCCTGGAAATGGAGTCTACGGGCATAACCACAGACCTCTCAGAACATACTCTGCCTTTCCTCTCCGCCCGCTGGCTGGCCTGTGCCCTTATGGAAGCAATTAGCTCTCTGCTCAGCTCACCGGTGCCTGTCTGTGTCGACGGCCTTGATTGTGCCCTGGAGGATGAGGGCTTCGTCTGCTCATATCTATGTCTCCCGTGGGGTCTAGCATGGAGCCTTATATGTTGTAGGTACCGAAGCCAAACTAATCTATGGCCACCATTAAAAACACAATGACTTGATCCCAAATATGATTCACTCTACTCTACTAAGCAAGTATTATCATCGTCAAAGAGTGGCTTCCCTCCTTCCCAGAAGCAGAAAACAAAACAAGGAGGCATGTGGGCTGGCTCAATGAAATATTAAGCAGCTCTCTCCAACAATGTGGGCAATGGTTTGTGTGGTTGTTACAGAGTCCAGGAAACGGGCAGAAAGGGAGGTGTATGACCAGACCACAATCTTTAGATCTCCGTTGTCCTCTTTGGGAAGGATTTTAGTATTAAAAGGACATTTATTCTCATTAATGCAAAATTAAGGAGTTTAAAAAGCTTTTACAACCTAGACTCCCTCTGAGAGGCCAGCTCTAACACCCTAATCAGCCTTCTCCTCCAACTACTAATTACAGCCAAGCAGCTCCTGTGGTTCCCAAACAGCCTGACAACAGGCAGACAAGAAGGAGGGAAGGAGCAAGAGATCCTGCACTGGCTTCTACAGTCACCCAGGCCCTCCTGGGGACTGATCAAAGGATGCATCGCTAGACACCTGTCCCACTGCTGAGAGGCAGGTCACCACTCACTTGGCCCAGGAGAACTGGAATTACTAACTCTCCAGGCAAAAAGGGGTGAATCCAATGTTCAAATCCCCTGAACTACAGCCCCCAAAGTAGCCATCCATCCTCTACTTAAAATACCTGCCGTAAAATGTTGGTAGCTTTGAAAGTGGGTGATGGGTATGTGTCAGTTCATAATATTCTCCCTACTTTTATGTCTGTATAGAATTTTTTAATAGCTAAAAAAAGGCTTTTTAATGCTTGCTGTAACAGGAACTCATAACATCCTAATCCTTCCTTGGACATTCTTTTGGGAAGTTCCTCCCTTCATTGAGCTACTGCACCCACCTACAGCTCTGGTCCTCCTAGAGGCCTTTAAGAGCTCAGTGTCTAAAGTCAGACCAACCTGGGTTCAAAAGCTGGAGTCACCACTTGCTGCCATTTGACCCTCAGTATATTAACTTCTCTGAACCTCCACTTTTCATCTGCACAATGAGGACAACAATGTAACCTACATCATAAAGATGTTGGGAAAGTTTGATGAGATCATACAGGTAACACCTTTAGCCCAGCACCAAGCATGTAAAGTACTCATTGTTATTTTGCTGGCTTAATAAGCCTCCTCCTGGAGGCCAAACAGAACAGGTCACCTACCTCTGCCTGTGGCAGACCTGATAGAAGACGACCAACTAAATAATACTCAGCACCTTGAGCCCATAAAAAGGATGCCCTGAAATTTAAAAATCACAAACATCTGTGATTATGGCAAACAACAAACATTATGCCCAAATTCAAGTTTCCTCTGTGTCTTGGCATCTCCTTCAACTACACTAATCTTTAGTTGTCTGCATTTGATGCTCTGAGACACCAACAGAAATAAAGAGAAATCTGTGGAAAATCCACTCCACTGAATCCTACAGAGAATCTGAGAGAACTCACTTTTCCCTCACCCTGTGTATGGACAGTGTGTGAGTGGAGAGTTCGCTTACTCATTACACATTTGTACAAGAAAGGATGCACACAAAATACAAGAGGCAGTGTAGGCCACTTTGTTCCCACTTCAGGGTGACCTGATCCTTCAGAGGAGAGCCCTCTGCAGCATTTTGCTATCCCACAGTGATTGCTAGGAGCACATAATCATCCCCAAGGCCCAGCATACCTTGGCCTGTTTTCCAAAACATGACTCCATGCATTTGTCCTGACACTCCAATGCCACAGACGTCCTGGAGCAGCTGCCGAGGAAGCGCAGCAAGGCACTCATTTAGGGCTTGGATGATTCTGCTCACATCCTGCTCCTGCCCCTGGAAACAGAACAGGACATGGTGGGCAGGGGCCCACAGACAGGAGGGAGGAGGAAAGAGGCCTCCAGGAGTTTCCTGGGTAGTAGCTGCAGAGCTAATTGCACTGGGGTCCCTTCCAGGACCCGCTGACTGGCCTCAGGGGTGCCATGTGGGACTGAGGGTTCTCCACCACCTCCAGTAGGGCCTGGAGCAGGAATGTGGTGATCAAGACTCCACTCCCTCCCCGCACAGGTGAGGCGCTGCTGTGGATTAGGTTCAGAAATGGCCAAGGCTCTGCCTTCCACTGTAGGTGAGTCTGAGCTGGGGAAAGCACTGCTTCTGCCATAGAGGAATGGACAGTCTAGCAGGAAGGATAGCAAAACACAGGAAAGACCGTAACGTAAGAAGAAGTTAAGGGTCTATCACAAGGCACACAGAAGGTTGGGGTAAGGGAAGGATGGAACATAGCAGGGAGGAACCTGGCAGGAAAGTTGTAGCCAAGCAAGGCCTCATGGACTAAAGCACTTTAGGACAAGCTCTAGCGTTTGCTTCTACTTAGACTTTAGTTCATCCATGTGGCAAACATTTCCTGAGTGTCTTTAGGGCCAGGCCTTAGACTTGGAAACAAAACACCCACTAGGCAAGGCAGGCAAGGAGGTAATGTCGAGAATACCTGGGCAGAGCGCCAGGGAGATGGTCCATGCAAGGGCTGGCGGCAGATGAGTCTATAAAAGAGGACAGGCTGAGCCCAGTGGGGGACCTCGAGCCCCAGGGTGAGGGGCTCCTCCTAAAGCCAATGGGGAGCACCTCGGGCTTTCTGAATGGGACAGTACCATCATCAGAAGGTTAATTAGGCAATGGTATAAGGTACCCAGAGAGAGACTGATAGTATAGAGAGATTTTTGGGGGGTGGAAATGAGATTCAAGAAAGTCAGGACCATCCTTTCCTGATTTGCCTTTTCTTCTGATTTGCTGCCTCCTTAAGAATTTCTCTAGGCAGAATAACCTTGAAAAACAAAGTCATGAGAAATAAGGAGAATCAAACAGCATACTATTATCTATAAGTCAGATGGTTCTAAGAGACAAAAATATGAATAGAATGCAGGATTTGAAAAAGGTTAAAGGTCTCTGGAATCAGAAGCGAAAACACATTTAGGTATCTTAGAGATAATGAAATGCCAAAACCAATTAAGCAGTATATCCAAATGGGTGGGAGGTCCAGACTAATATAACTTTAAAAGTAGGTGACTCACACCAAAAAACATTTAGGTTCCATGACCATCTCTTCTTTCAAATTATGAAGTCCCTGTTAAAGACTAGAAATCGGACTCCAAGATCCCATCCCCTCCCAGGAGATGCCTCTAATCAGTAAGAAGTCTCAAAAAGCTACGGAGGCCACCACAAAATATACACTTGGAAAAGAAACCCAGATGACATAATTGTTTTCTCAATGATTAAGTAGATTTCGAGTAGACTCCACAGCCAGTGTGGAGCCCAACGTGGGGCTTGAACTCATGACCTTGAGATCAAGACCTGAGCTGAGATCAAAAGTTGAACGCTTAGCCAACTGCGCCCCATGATTAAGTAGATATCAAAGAATTCAAAATCAAGAATTAAATATGCATGTTTAAAAGAGTCATACCTATCTGATTAACATTTGTGCTTAAAGAAACTTCTGAGTATTTGGTATTTTAGGTAAATTTATATGTTTAAGAGAATTTGGCCTAGGTTACCTCTGTAATTGAGTAACTGATCTAGATTTGTGATTATAAATTCAAATCTCACTACTGTACATTTATAAAAGGATTTTAAACATACAAAACATTTAAAGTTTACATAGCTATCCATTTAACTTATTAGATTTACAAGAATTATTTAAGTGTTCTGAAAAGCTTTGGGTCAGGCAACTACAATACGTATATGTGTGTGTGTGTGTATAACTAATGTGTAACTAAGGTACTTAACTGAAATGGCATTAAGTATTATTCAAAGGTCCTCAAAAATGATAGTTACATGTTAGACTTATAAATGGAAACAGCTTTATAGGCTAAATTTAAAAGCTTAAGAACTAGGGTTCTGAATTTAATAAATTGAATACTTATTTTTATTTCAACCAAAGTAAAATGTTTCTGGCACACAAATTATCTCAAGGCACAAAATAAACTTATACTTAACAACTAGAAGGACCCACGGAAAACTCAAGCCCCAGGCTAGCCGGCCCAAGGCAGAACGCAGCCTTCGCCTCCTTGGGACAAACCCCTCACTTGCCCTGTCAGTCTGCCGGCCTTGGGCAGGGGCAGTTCTAGGCTCCAAACAAGCATGAATAAAGGAGCAGAAAAAAAGGAAGGTGAGGATGGGTAGGATGGGGGAAGGAGTGCAAAGACAGCACAAACCATTTTCCTGAGGATGCAGCCCCAGATTCTAATAGGACTCTTTATATATGGGAGAGACTATGGCAGAACTGACTGGGCAGTGAGAGACCAGCAGTGAGGTGGTGCATGGCTGTGCACCTGAACTGAGATGTGTTGGGAGTATAAAATACATACCAGACTTCAGGTTTAATATGAAAAAATACACAATATCTTATTAATAGTTTTATATTAATTATTATATATTGAAATGATAGTACATTGGATACATTGGACTAAATTAAATATGCAATTAAAATTGATTTCAAATGTTACTTTTAATACTAGAAAACTGAAAATTACAGGTGTGGGTCACATTTGTGGCTAGAATTCCTTTTGGATGCTGCTGAAGAATTCCCACACAGCCTCAGACGGTGTGTCCACCCAAGACAGAGGAGCCACTGTTTCAAATGGGCCCAGGGTGGGTGAGTTGCGAGGGTGGGGATAGCGGAGGAGGGAAATGGGCCAGGTGGAGGTGAAGACAAGGGGGCAGTCAGTGTTCAGCAATTAGTTCGAGTTTTAGTGGTGAGTGTGATCAGGGAGTAGCTCTCAGACAGTGGGCATACCCACAATGTAACAGGAAAAGTGCTGCCCCCATTCCTTGGTTCAGAATATTCATCCCTCTACAACCAAATCAAATCCTACAACTTTAGATTTGAGAAAGAACTTAGAAACCCATTCAACCTTCCTCCCCCACACCCCTCTTTACAGATGAGGAAACTGAGGCCTAGAAAGAAGAAATTAGTAACTCAGAAAGGGTCACAGAGATTCCCTCAAAAATCCTGATATTTTAAAGTTGCAAATACCTAAAAGCCTGACTTTCCATACAGCTGCCAAGCTTGACCTTGGTGTATACACTACTTCTTAAGAGTAAAAAGTATGGAAGGAAAAGGAAAGGACAGAGTCATCAGGCATTTCTGTAGCTCAGTGGTCCTCACCCCAGGGGTGATGTTTGTCCCCTGGGGTACATTTGGCAAGATGGAAACATTTTGGGGTGTCACAACTGGGTAGAAGGGTCTATTGGCATGTAGTAGATAAAGGCCAGGGATACTGCTGAATATCCTACAACGCACAGGACGTCTCCCCACAACAAAGAATCATCTAACCCAAGGTATCAACAGTGCCAAGGTTGAGAAATCCTGCTATAGATTAAATTACAGCAATACTGTTTGTCCCAGAGCACAAAACACCTGTGGAGGATGCAAGGGGGGGCTATTCCTGGCCTCTCCTAAACCCCTCATTAGGCAGGTGTGGCACATGGTGTGCCTGTAAACACAGAACAGCCTGCTGAATGCTGTGGGAAGCGGGGAAAGTAGTTTTCAAGAAGTGACCCTATTTCGGGGCCCCTGGGTGGCTCAGTTGGTTAAGCATCCAACTCTTGATCTCAAGCCCAGGTCTTGATCTCAGGGTTGTGAGTTCAAGCCCCGCACTGGGCTCCACGCTGAGCAGGAAGCCTACTTAGAAAAAAAAAAAAAAAAAAAGAGCGGCTTTATTTCAAGAAAAAAGGGTAGTGCCTAAACCTACTCCCTGTAATCCCAGCTCTGCTGCTCACCCCCACAGGTGAAATAATCATTCTAAAATACCCTGATGCCCTAATCAAACTAATTTTGAGTCTCTATGAAAATGCAAAGTGCTCCTGAACTCTTTACCCTCTAAAATGTTTCTGAGCAAGACGGACTCTGAACCCTAAAGAACTGAGTTAGATAAGCAGCAAAAGATTGTGAAAAACAAGCCCTTGGGAGTGGGGCTTAGAAAACCCAGGTTTATGGCTGGAAAGCGCCTTAGAGGCCACCTATTTCAACTGGGAAAACAAGCAGAAATCCAGAAAAAAAAAAAAAGTCATAAGGTTACAAAGAAAGTTCCTGGATATTAATTTCTATTGTCCATTAACTGAACATAGAGCTACCTTTTTAAGAGAATTAATGAAATCCAGCTCTAAGAACTGATGATCTTCCTGAACCCACATCTCCAAACAGACCCCACTGTGGCGAAATTCTCCATTTCTACCCTGTAGCTTTCACAAGACACTAGTTTTAATGTATGATGATCCATCCGATCTTTTTCTCCCGTCTTTGTCTGAGCGGTCCTTCCTCCAAGGTGTCTCAGCCTTTGGGTCCTGGTGTCTTTGCTGACCAAGTGTTTGAATTCCCCAGTCCACCTGCCCAACGAGAAGAGCCGCTTAGGCCCTGATTCTATAGTCTTAGTTCCTGAGGAAAACCCAAATTCTGCCCTGGGGAACAGACTGAATCCTGAACTTGAGGATACCGGCAGGTGTGAGGTGCAGAGGGGTCAAGAACAAGAGGGAGGCCCGAGGTCACACAAGGAGCGCAATTTCCCCAGATCAAAGTACAGAAAGTGGAAGGCAGAGAGCACGGGGATAGAGCGCCCTTAAGCAAGGCCCCCAGAGGCCAGGGAGCCGGATCGGGGTCAGCAGGTGGGAAAAGCTCCTGGGACGAAGCCTAACGGACCAGAAGGAGCTACAGCAGGCAGGCAGAGGCCAGGCAGGCTGGAGAAACCAGGGACACTTCTTTGGAGAAGAGGGGTGTCGAGGAGGCGGCGCCGCTCCAGGACACTGCCTCACCTGGGGCCCTGCCGCCGCGCTCTGGGCCGCCGCCTCGGCCCGCGCAGCCCGGGCACAGCTCGCCAGGACCACAAACCCCGATGGGTCGCCGGGCACGGCCTCCACCAAGGCCGCCTTCACAGACGTAGTGCCCAGGTCGATACCGAGAATGACGGGCCGCGCAGCCATAGCCTCGGAGCGCCGCGCAGCCGACGTCTGGGGGAGTGGCGCCCCCTCCGGCACGCTCCGGCCGGTTCCCAGGCGCCGAGGCGGGGCCGGCCCTTCAGCCACACCCAGCATGGAGGCTTCTGGCCTTCCCATTGGTCGAGGAAGGCGGAGCCCCGCGCGCCGTCCCGGCGGGCCCCGCCTATAGGCGGACAGGCGGCGGAAGGCAGGACCTAGGGGGCCCCGTTCCACGCGGCGGCCGTTCTAAGACGGCGGAGCGCTCCCGCGGCCTAGCTCACCGTGGTATCGCGGAGTTCGGCGACAGGCACTGGGGGCTCCGGGAGGCTCTGTGTCCCTAAAAGTGGTTTAAGCCTCCCACACACCCGAGCCCCTATCCCTGCCAAGGCGCCCGGGCCCCTCTGCTCCGCCGCAGCCCTGCCGGACTACAGTTCCCAGCGTGCATCGCACCGAGCTCCGCTAGCCGAGAATCCGGTGGCTGGGGTCCGGTGACTTCTGGCCCGCCCTCATCCAAAGCCTGGCTGCCGGGGGAAGCCGGTACAGTCCAAAACGGATCCAGCGTCCGTTGTGGTCGCTGCCCGGAGCCTAGAGGATCTCAGGTGAGCGTCGGCGCGGCCCCAACAGCCTCCCCCCATTTACCCGGCGGACCCCGAGAGGGCTAAAGACTGGCAGTGTAAGTCGGTTGAGGATCTTGCCGCGCGTCTAGTCCCCCCCCTCCAGCCGCGCCAGGGTTCCATCACCTACCAGCGGTCCCGGCCTCGAGACAGCCAGCCTACGGGTTGGAAGGCCCGCGTGCCGGTGAGCGGAGGCAGGGGACCCTGGGCTGCCGAGGTGGTGTGGGTGGGTCTACTCCCGTGCAAGTCCGAGCCCCCTCCCCGCCTCCTGGTTAGTTGTCGCCTGAATCTGGGTCGCGGAGTTGGCAGATTACTTTGGAGAGAGGAGGTGCTGAAAAGCCCATTCCACGAACTCCCGTTGGTGTGCTGGGGGACTGAGCAGAATGAGACCCCGCCCTGCGTTCCGGGACTTTCAGGCTGGGGGAAGGGAGGACAACTGACTGGCTACCCTTTTAAACAGAACTGAGAAAAATAACCACCTATGCTTTATGAGAGCTTGCTAGGTGCCGAGGCAACGGTAGTAATCGTTTTACGACATTGTTTCTCAACCTTTTTTTTTCTAATGAACTCTTCCCCACCACCATGAAATTTTAATACCACTGATTAAGTCTGTTTGTGTACTGTGGCCCTTTGGAGGGCCACAAGCCATGTTATGCATTTCAGCTCATTTAAGTCCTATGATGTAGTCCCACTGTCTTGTTTTCATATTAGGAAATTGAAGCTTGAGGAGGTTAAGTAGCACCCCAAAGTCAGACAATAAATGGGGAGCCCAGGTTCAAACCTGTGCAGTCTGTCTGCAGGGCACACATTTTTGACACTTTCTGTGTCCTACAAGGGAAGGAGACTCAAGGTGTTCCAGGTTGTAAAACAATTGACAGGATTAAGTCAGATACTTGACAGGAGCTGGAGACCCCTGACCCCAGGTTGCTCCAGGGGTGCATGGTTTGGGAGTGGGAGACCTCTTGAAATGGTATCTGAGTGACACCTGGAAGATAGAACTTAACACAGGAAGAGGGGCATGCCCGAAAGAGCCCATTGTCGTGAAATTCTGTATTTCTACCTTGTAGCATTCACAAGACATAGTTTTAGTGTATAGCTATCACTCTGACGTTTGTCTGACATTTTAATCAACTTCTCAATGTCTATCTGTCCTGGTGTCTTTCCTGCAAGGTATGTATCTCAGACTCTGGGTCGGGCGCGGCGGGACTTTTGCTGACCAAACATTTGAGTTTCTTAGTCCACATTCCGCTCCTGCAGGATGAGAGGAGCTGGTTAGGCTTGATTCATATCTGATTTCCAGGGGCGGGGAACGCAGACTCTACCCTGAGGGACATTCTGAATCCTGAACCTAAGGACACAGGCAGGTGTGAGGAGCAGAGAGTGGCAAGAGTGAACGGGAGACCCGTGCTCACTCCACAGACACAGCAGAGCAATTCCCTGCAGGTCAGGGTACAGAAAGTGGGTGGTAGGGAGCACAGGGATACAGCACCAAAGTCAAGGAATCCAGAGGAGGCCAGAGACAGAGCAGGTCAGTGCCAGCAGGTGGGAAAGCTCCTGAAGTAAGACCTAACAGATCAAAGGGAGCTGCCCAGGCAGAGAGGCCCCCGGAGGAGACAGGGACAGGCAGAGATCAGGCAGGCTGGAGCAGTCAGGAAGATGTCTTTGAAGGGAGGGGTGTATTAGGAGGTTCCTTGAGGCCTTTTGGGAAAACTGAAATCAGAGAGGTGTTTCCACACAGACCTCTCCTAGCTCTCCCCACGGGACTCCCCAGAGGCTGTCAGGTGGGAGGGCCTAGGCTCTGCATGCCAAGGCAGTATGTGCAGACCAAGTTAGAGATATCCATGCTGACCTGCCCCATCTTGACACGTGGTTCACCTGCTGTGCTTTGGGGTTATAGGTGTTATGTAGTGCATCTCCCTCACTTAACCAATGAGTTTCCCCTGGGCTAATCTGGGGCGCCTCCCTCACTGGGTCCCCATTATGAGTGATCCCTGCCAGTCCTGGAGAGGTGACACTTGTCAAATGAAAAAGTCTTAACCCGGTGTCAGGTGGTGGCATTAGCCCCTTAGGCTTTTGACCCAGGACAAGGAATGAAATTAATTTCCTTAAGGTTCGTAGGTTCACAAAGTCAAATATCTGACCACAATTTGGATAACTTTTTGAAAAAAAGGACCCCCAGCCGATAAAACTGCATTCTTTCTTTTTGTTAACAAGGTTACAAGAAGCAGTTGAAGAGGGAAAAATTTGGTGTTTGTCTTCTTCCTCAGAGTGGAGCCTTACACAACACAGTCTCTCTGAGCCCATGGCTCCACATATCAAAGAAAGCTATGTTCCACACACCCCACGCCCCAGTCACTTGGTGATGCAAAGCATGTGAGGTCACTGGTGTGAGGTGAAAGCCCTTTAGGAACTGTCTGTGTCGTGGTCCATTTGTTGCTGAGCTGCTCCAACTTTAACCTGAACTTCTCTTGCTGTTTGTTTTTCTTCCTAGTTCTTTGAAATTGAGGAACATGATAAGGAGTTGGCTGATTATTTTTATCCTTCTTCCCCTGAAGCTCATAGAGAAATGTGGTGAGTTTAGAAATGGGTCATCAACTTTGTAAAGAGGGAGATGGTGCAATAGAGTAAGTAGCCAGACCTGTTCGTAGCCAAGGGTTCAGGATTGTCCAGACTGCATGTGTCTGCTGGCTCCTTGGCCAAACGACCACTGGGTGGTGGAGCAGACCCAGGTCTGGGATTCAGGACTTTCACAAATAATTGACCTTCTTCCATGGGGTCCCTATTACCTTTTCTGTACCACCAAAGTCAAACTGCAGAGCTTCAACAACTCCCTGTTCTGTGGACCTCACAGAAGGAATTATAGGTCCTAGGAGATGCTGCAGAAGCAAATGAGGTGGCCATCTTGTTGCACCTGGTTCTTCTGTCAGGTTCAGATACCTGAGGAGTCTGCCAGGCATCCCCTTGTAAGATGGAAAAACCTTCTTTTAGAGAGAAACCGAGAAACAGGATGCAGCAGCCCAAGGGCGGCTAGGGGCCTCACATAACACCGGCTGGTTGTCAAAAAATACCTTGGGGTTTGGGCATCCTTGTGAGGTTTGTAAGAGCAGCAGGGCCGTTAGAGGTCTGCATCATTCTATCACTTCTCCCACTGCCTAAAACATTGCTGAAATTCCTTCCATGAAGAGGACGGAAAGTGTTTAGCACTCCTAGGATGGCAGGCTGGTTATTTTGATCATCAGCTTGGCTGTTGTCAAAAATCAAATATATCTTGGGGCGCCTGGGTGGCTGTCGGTTAAGCGTCTGCCTTCGGCTCAGGTCATGATCCCGGGGTCCTGGGATCGAGCCCCACATCGGGTTCCCTGCTCGGCGGGGGGTCTGCTTCTCCCTCTCCCTCTCCGCTCCCCTGGTTTGTGTTCTCTCTCTCTGTCGAACGAATGAATAAAATCTTTTTTAAAAAATCAAATATATCGTAAAATCCCTGACTAAGGATTTCAAATGACCCTTATACAAACAATACAAATCCTGCAGAAGCTTCCTGAGAGCTGTACACAGTGGCTGTACCATTACAGTTATGTGGCCTCTTGAAGGCTCTTCTAGGTTTGTTAAACAATCAGTCATGTTACTTTGCAGTCACACCTTGTGGAGAAACAATTTCCAGGAACAGAAAGGTGGCACCCTGAAGCCTGGTGTTTCTCCATACGAATTCCAGAGCCCCATTCCAGACCTGCTCTGCACTGTCAGGCTTTAGATAAAGGCAGGAAAGAAGAGCACATCTGGCCACCACCACCGCAGTTACACGGAGGGGAAACTTTGACCCAAAAAGTCTTCCCCAAAGTCACAGAGTCCCCAAAGGTGACACCTGCATAGGATCCCTGCTCCGTTTTACTCTTTGCTTCCTTTCCTGAATGTCATTGAAAAAGAGTAGTGGAAACACCATGAAATCAAGTGACTAGAATTGGGGTTCTGAGCTCATTCTGCTTGTCTTCTTCTTTGCTTTGGGGATTGGTCATCAAGGACTGTGGATGAGATGATCGGTCTCTGACTTCTCTGGGTGGAATCTTGAGGCACTGCCACCTAGTGCCAAGAAGCTGGGCCTTGGGCCAGACAGGCCTGGATTTGAATCCTGCCTCCACCATGTCTGAGCTATGTGGGCAAGACACTTGCCCTCTTGGGATTCTGTTTCCTTATATCCGAATTGGGAAGGATAATACCCACCTCTCACTGTTACAATAATTAGAGAATGGGTGAACCATGAGGCAGAGTGGGTGGGATGGGGAGCGCAGTGGAGGGTGCCAATAAGTATTCCTTTGAAAAAAAAAAAAACCCTTCCTTAGGGGAAACTTCAGGTGATTCCATGAAGACTTGTTTGGTAATTCTGATGTGGTGTCCCGAGACTCTTGCCCAAGGGCAAACTTTAAAATGTGCTCTCTCTGGAAATTATGCCTGCTTCATAACTGCCTTCCATCTTGGGCTTGAAAATGTCCTACAGTGTTTACATGATGAGAACAGTCACCAGCAATCATCTAGCATTCGGGCCACATGGGAAGTGTGTCACAAACACTCCCACACTGTGTCTTCACGGCGCCATGTGAAATACGTAGTGCCGTGCTCCCCATCTTACAGGTGAGGAAATAGAGCCCCATAGAGAGGTTAAGAGCAAGGAAGGCACAAAGCCGGGGTGGACCGTGTGACTTCAGAGCCCAGTCTCTCAGCTGCTAAGAGCCAAGTGAGGGGAAAGTAGACATTCCCTGATCTGGTTCTCAGGCGCTCACAGCCTCCTCTTGTAAAGTGCAAAGAATATGGAAGAGCAAAGGCCACGCGGACCTCTCACCGTGACCACAGCCCAGCAGAACCTTCGGGCCCCAGAGGTGTGGGGGGCTGCCTGGCATCACTTTCAGTATCTCTGTCCTGGGCACTGTCTCGTCAATGGTTTTGCTTCTCTGGTGTGGTCCTCAACTCTCGGTAGAAAGTAACATCAGAGACCTTAAGTCCTACTGCCCCCCTAGCTGTGCAAGCCCAGAACAAAGCCTCAGGTTGCTATCAGACTGTGAAAAAGAAGGGGCAGAGTTGCCAAAGCTGCCTCCGGGCCCTGAGGCTACACATAAGGGAGGGGTCGTCCTACTCAGCTGTGAGAGGCTTGGCCTTTGCAGGGGCCAACATGGGGACATGCCCACTCAGTGGGACGCCAGGCAGGTGTGAGGAGAGTGCTGAGACTAGAGACCTCAGACTGTGGGAGTCTCAGCTTGGAGGCTTGCAGGTGCAGGTGACAGAGCCTTTATCCACATTCATGTGTGCGGGGTTGTCATGAAGAAGGCGGCTCTCAGAGCCATGCCCAGAAGTACAAGTTCCAAGCTGGCCAAATCCTTTGCAGGAGATGAGGTTACCATTCTTGGGAGGTGTTTAGGCAGAGGAAGGGCAACTTCCAGGTAGGAGTAATGAAAAAGGGGATCAGACAGTGGAGGTTATATCAGGGAACTTTTAAGTTCCCCTCCAACCTGAACACCTAAAACTTCAGATCTTATTTATCTTCTGCCTAGAGGGAACTGGGGAGAGAGAAACCTGGGCCCTGCCTGCAGCCGCTCCCCCTACAAGGACCATCCTAATCAAGTTAAGCTCCTTTCCCCTATGGGCTCCCTTCCTGCCCAGTCTAGCTTCATGACCACTCCTTAGTCCTTGCATAACCCTGAAGGCCCTGAGGTAAGGGAGGTGAAGTGGACAGGGGCCTGGGGCTTTGAGTGCACCTGGGAGTAGGGTGGGGTGCAAGTGTGGGCTGCCCAAAGAACACAGGGAAAGGTCAGAGAGAGGCTCACTCACTCTGGTTCTATGGCCAAGTTGCTCTGGGGTATTTGGCCTCCCAAACCTGCTTCCTCCCTCACTCCCAAGGCCTATTTGTCTACCTTATTCTGCATTAACACCTTAATGCCAAGAAGAAATCCCTGATAGTGAGATTGTGGTATACACCATTTTCCCCCCACTCCCCAGCATAGTCAGTCTCAGGAAGGGGATCAGTGAATGGGTTTTATGGGTTAGTACAGAGCCCAAAGGCGTTCTTTAGAAACAGGATAGCTGGGCCCTGTGTGTCTCTGAGAGTACAGGAAGGGGCTGGACCAGTTCTGCAGGGCCATTTTGGCTCCATGAACAGAGGAGACCCCTGTGCTTTCCCATCTGAAGAGGTGGCTCAAGTCCACATTTTTCAGTCCCAGATGGATGCATGAATTCCTGTGTGACAATTTTGGGGCTCCATTGTTCTAAAACTCTGGATAACTCAGCCTCAAACCTCTCAGTGTGGGGAAGAAGAAGCTACAGTGTTTCCTGCTCAGGCCTGTGTCTACCTCTCTCTGGCAGCAGAAGGGGAAAGAGCATAATGAAGGCTCAGGTTTCCAGGCCCATCACCTACCCTCTCAGGACCTCCATGTCTTCTTCTAGAAGATGGGGGTTGTCATGAGTCAGAGCTCATGAGTTCAGATGTTGAGGAGCCTCATCCCAGTTTTTCCTTGTGAGCCTGAGTTCTCTGACCTAACGATTTGTCATTGGTTTGGGTCCTTCCAGAGTCAACAGTCGACTTCACTGTTCCTCCCACTGTGAAGCTGGAAAATGGAAGCTCAGCCAACATCAGCATCACGCTTCAGTAAGTTCCCAGGCCCAACTCTGTCATCAGCCCAGTTCATTCACCCCATGGCAGGTCAGGGCTGACCCCTGGTTCTATCTGTTCATATTTCAAATGTGATACCTTTGCCTCTTTACTTTAAGACAAGCCAGAGAACCCTAGGGCCAGTGGATATTCTGTATGGTGGTATCAAGTCACTTCTCTCCTAAGAAAATAAAATAAGCTTTAAAAAAAAAAAAAGACAAGCCAGAGAAAGAGAGGTGATAGCAGGTGGTCTGCAGACTCAGGTCCTAGAGTCTCTCTACTCCCAGCCACTGAGTCCTTGTTTCTGGTTGGAGGAGGAGGAAGGGGGCTTCCCCCTAGAGACATGAACCTTTTCCCCAGCTGAGGGATGGCCTTGAGTGACCAGCAGTTGATGCCAGACCTCAGAGTGGTCCCTTCCAAGGCTCTTAAGTATTTGATGAGAGCCCTGAAGGTCAGGGGGCAAGGAGCTGAGCTGTTCGGCAGCACTTCCGAGATCCCTTCTGAAAGCAGAAGTGATCTTATTGAGTGGATCCCATTCATGGTGACATTCCCCCTTGGCCTTTTCTGAGTGTCTTACTGGTTAACCTCTGCTGGTTCAGGTGTGAGGTGCCGACCTAGTACAGACCACCAGAGAGCCTGCCTCTTCCCTATCCTTTACTGCTTCTCCCTACTCTTGCCTCCCAGCTGTGAGGATTCCCCAGGACCTAGAACCTTGTCCTTTTCTCTTTACGTTTCTTCCTTTTCTTCACCTCTCCTAGGAAGTCTGATCTCAAACCAAAGCTTTGATAGCAACCTGCATTCCATCCCAGCTCCTGCCACCCCTCTACATGGACACCTTATAAATCTGACAAGCCTTCCCCTCACCACATCACCCCTCTCCAGAATCCTCAAGGGGCTTTCCATGGCCTTCCAAATTCACTCCAGGTCTGTACATTCACACTTGAGGACACCACCAGCTACTCCCATCGGACATGTCTCCTGGCTTTCTGGGGACACACTGGTCCCTGCTCAGACCCAAGCCCTTTAAAGCCTTCTCTACCAGAGCAGATGGCATGGTCCTCTTGGCCTCTGGACACCTGATTTGGCAGTCACAACCTGTTCCCCACCTTCTCATGTTCTCACCTGGCCCCTGTGGGCCTCTTGTCTCCCGAAACCAATGAAAAGCTCCTAGGAGCAAGGACCCCACCTCTACCGCTCAGGGCCTAGCACATAGCACTTAATTATAATTGCTTGAGCAGTGACAGGCCCTGTGTGAAATCCAGAGGGTTGGTTGAGATCTCACAGTGTCCAACTTCTCAGCAGTAATCAGACTCTTATCCTCCACAGGCATCCATTAAATGCAACCTTGGTGATCACTTTTCAAATCACATTTCGTTCAAAAAATGTTACTATCCTTGAGCTCCCTGATGAAGTAAGTAATGAATTTTAACTGCTGGGTAATAAAATACTTTTTAAGAAAGTGCTTTTAGAATTAGGCCACCTTGTTTTTATACCGTGGGCTGCTCCTGTTCCATCATTCTAAAAATCTCTGATTTGGGCTTTGTTCATCAATTTGAGGATGGCCATTTTATGCCATGTAGATGGAATGAGGAAGGTGGTAGTAAGAAATTTGAGGCAAAAATGGTTCTGGGAATGTAGAAGAAATTCTTAATCAGATAGCTTTCTAAAGCTTGGCTGCATAGAGGGCATTGGCGGACCAATGTACTGTCCCTGCTTGAAGATCTTTTAGAAATGCAGAATCGTGGGCCCCATCCCAAACCTACTGATTCAAAACCTGCATATGAGCAAGATGCCCAGATGATTTAGGCCCCCACTGAAGTTTGCAAAGCACTCTTCCGAGATTCCATTGGTTGAATGTTATTTCCAGAAACCAGTGCCAAATGCTAACAATGACTATTCATAGTCCTTATGCATTTATCTGTTAATATACACACTGCTTCTACCTTACCAACATTTGAGCAATTACCAATTGACTAGATAAAAAAATATCAGTAGGGAAGGCAGCAATATAGAGAATAAACAAGAGTTTAAAAAAAAATAGACAAGCTGTATGCAAGGATAACTACGCAGCATGTCACGAGGCCCTGTGTGGTTGTAGAAATGGGCTGCAGGTTGGCTATGAGGCCCCGGCGAGAAAATAGTACTGAAGCATGTGATCAGATAAAGGGTGTCAACCCAGAAGGGCCTTGCGTGGGAAGGCAGTCCTCTCTCACCCTCTGGTGAACACCACACCTCATTAGACAGAGCCATTTCTCACAACTTTCCCGCTGCCCTGGGGCATGAAGCCTGCTGCAGGGTAAGAAAAGGCATTGGTTCTTAGAGCAGACTGTGGCACCCAGCTGAGGTCTGGTTTGATCCACAGATCAAATTTAGAGTCTGAGGAAGGACGTTAATCACCTAGTTTAGGGTCAGTAAAAGTCAAACATGATCTTAAGCAAAAAAAAGGCTGATGCAGAGAAGCCTACAGTACCGTACGCTTCCTTGGGCGTAAAGTGCAAACACAGTCAGGGCCAGTCCGTGGTGTTGGTTAGCATAGCAGTCTCCCCTTGGGGATCAGGTGTGACTGGAAAGGAGCAGAATAAGGCTTCTAGGGTGCTGGAAGGGTTCCGTTTCTTGACCTGAGTGTTTGATCTTGGTTTGTAGTTGTTACTTCATCAGGCTGTGATGTGTGTACTTTTCTGCACATTATGTGATAATTCAATTTTATATAAATTTAATGGTGGATAACATTGTATGTCAACTATAATTTTTTAAAAATTATATGGTGGAAAGTCAAATCCAGTTATAGAAATGATCTATATGGGCACCAACCCGCTTTCCAGGGGCCAACCTATATGGCCCCTCCCCATCCAGCTCTAACCACTCCTATCTACTCCCTGTGCCTTTGGAAACCACTGGTTAGAACTTGGGGGTCAGGTAGTCTAGAAGCCTGACCCGTGAGCCTTGGATAAGGTACTCCACCCGATACATCGCAGATTCCTCATTTGTAGACATAACGTTAGTAATGTCTACTTGACAGGGTTGTGAGCATGAAAAGCTATAGCAAGTATAAAATGTCTAGAATTGTATCTGGCATGTAGAAAGAAAGCACTCAGTAAAAAATAGTGATAAATTTCGCTGTAGACCTAAAACTGTTTTCAAAATAAAGTTTATTGGGACGCCTGGGTGGCTCAGTCGGCTAAGTGTCTGACTCTTGATTTCAGCTCAGGTCGTGATCTCAGGGTCGTAAGATCGAGCCCCGCATCAAGCTCCGTGCTGAGTGTGGAGCCAGCTTAAGATTTTTCTCCTTCTCCCTCTGCACCTCCCCACTTGTGCGCACTCTCTAAAAAAATTAATTAATTAAAAATAAAGCTTAATAATAATTTTTTAAAAAGATAGTGATAGTTATGATTTCCTTTTGCCTTGTATCAGTTGATTTCCAGTTGACCAGTTTTCTTCCTGCCTAGTTCCTGAAGGGACTGAGTGGCCACTTACAAATATACAACCAACATGGCCAAAAAAAAACCTTGTTAAAAATAAGAAAAAGTAGCCGAGAGTAGTACATGTCATGAGGATGTAGCTTGCAAGAGGTGGGCCATGAATCAGACTCTGGGTTTTGCTGCAGCTGCTTATACCATTTCACTTGTTCTGCCAAAGCCCCCTGATTTCCAGCGCTAAAACCAAAAAGACGGTCCTTCCAGGGTCCTCATAAAGAAGCCACTGAATTCTAATGGCTGCATCCTCACAATGCCTGTGGTATGGGTAGAGGTCTGAGGCCCAGAGCAATATCCAAGGAACAAAGAGGGGGAGACAGTTGGTTCAGGGAAGGTATCATTCTGCTCCCTGCCACATTTGGGAGATTTGAGAATGTCGGGGGTGGGGCGGGTGACTGGGAGATCAGATATTGCAGGCAGGCCTCCGAGTACTGTTGCTCAGAGCAGAGCTTTTGATAAGTGTTGGACAGAAAGGAGGGTAAGAATGTTCTCCCTGACAGGTGTCTGTCTTCTGTTTTGTCACTTGGCAGCCACACTGGGCATGGGGCAGACATCGTCTGTGGGTATTAAGGAGCCTTCCGTTATAACAGAAGTAGAATAGCAGTCATGGTATTTATGGATATTATGCCATTCATAGCAACCTTGTAAGGTAGACACTTCTGTTATCCCCTTGTACCGGTGAGCAAACTGAGGTCAGAGCTTGAATAACTTGCCTGAGATCGAGCTATCCCACCTTCCCTGGTAGTTGAGGCAGGGGAGGGCCTAAGGGCAGGGCTGTTGTTCTGCTCAGAACGTCTAACACACGGGTATTGGGGCGGGGGGGCAAGTAGTTGGTCCAGTGTTTCTCCCTCCTGTTAGTAAGCTCTTGGAAGGCAGGGACTGTGTATCACACACATCATTCCCTAGAGTGTAGCCTGGAGCTAGACACTCAGTGAGGTCCTAATAACTGTAGCACCAGATTGAATTCAGTTTTCTTAACAGGTTGTGGTGCCTCCCGGAGTGACAGATTCCTCTTTTCAAGTGACATCTCAAGATGTTGGACAAGTTACTGTTTATCTGCACGGAAATCATTCCAACCAGACCGGGTAGGCTGACCTCAGCCCACGCGGGCCTTAAATGATAAGACGGGAGGCAGGCAGTGTTGGGTACATGGGGGGTTTCCTTCAGGCTCAGCCTCAGCTCATCTCAGTCCCCAAATTCTTTCTAGCCCGAGGATCCACTTCTTGGTCATCCACAGCAACGTCGTTAGCATCATAAACCAGGTGATTGGCTGGATTTACTTTGTGGCCTGGTCCATCTCCTTCTACCCTCAGGTGATCACCAACTGGAGGCGGAAAAGGTAACCTGCTAAGCTTTATGTGAAGTCCCTTGAGGCTAGTAAGATGAGAGGCATTCCAGAGAGGCTGTAGGCAGCATGGGTTCAGACTTTCCTCCTCTGCTGTTCTCTCTTCTTGCCCTTTCTAGAAAGTGTCCAGTGTGAAAGCTCTAAGAGCCTGTGGCAGGACTTGCAGCTCTGGGCATTTGGTCTGCGGCCCAGTTCAGTTCCTCCATGTGAAAGCAACAAAATGGGGCTTTTCAGGGAAGTGGAGACTGGGCAGGGTTGGGGGATTGCACCAGATCTGCTCTGTTCTTGGTCCACCCAGCCCTGGAGGGGTTAGTGGCCAGTCTGGCTGCTGTGCCGGAGCTGGGTCCTTCAGCCTCGCAGGCTAAGGTGCCCCACCCTGACTTTAAAGACAAAGTGGGCCTGGAGTTGTGTCTGCACAGCAAGAACTCCAGCTCTCCTGTGGTCACCCCCATCAGATGGGCCTCGTGGGGGGCTACGGAGCTGGGAGCCGGCGGGGCGCGGGGGTGGAAGATGCTTCCTCTGTGGAGGAGGCTCAGGACTTCCCTCTGGGGCCAGGACTTGAAGAGGCAGGAGACGAGGGAGGGAGGGAGGAAGGAAACTGGTTCCCAAGAGAGTGGGATTGGGTGGCGTTGATTGGGGCATGCAAAGGGACCTGAGGACGGTGCTGTCCTTGGGAGAGCTGGGCCCTCCTCCCCATGCGTTGGGAGCTCTGTCCCCTCCCTTCCCCGCAGTCTCACCCTTTGCCCTTTGTCTCTTCATTGCTCCCATGCCACAGTGTCATTGGCCTGAGCTTTGATTTCGTGGCCCTGAACCTGACAGGCTTCGTGGCCTACAGCGTGTTCAACATTGGTCTCCTCTGGGTACCCTACATCAAGGTATGGCACTGCCTGCCCACTGCAGCCCGGCCCCAGCTGCTTGGTAGCCTGGCTGCACCTCACCCCCAAGCTTCTCCCAACCCCTCAACCAGGAGCAGTTTTTCCTCACATATCCCAATGGGGTGAACCCCGTGGACAGTAATGATGTCTTCTTCAGTCTGCACGCAGTCGCCCTCACCCTGGTTGTCGTGGTGCAGTGCTTCCTCTATGAGGTGAGAGATGAATCTGGTGCCCACCCCACCTCGGGCTCCCTGGGCCAACACCCACCCCCACCACCTGTTGGCCATACTTCCCATGTTACAGAAGACACAGAAAGTCAGCATCTACTTACTGAGGCTGAGAGAGTAGACCCGGCCCTGTGCTGGGTACAGGGAACACCCATGAACCCAAGCTCTCAGGACCCCAGGTCTGGGATGAGGGACACAGAGAGGCAGTGAGGACCCAGCAGGCTGAGAGCCGAGCGGGAGGGGAGGACACAGGCGGCTCATGGAGGCCCTGGCACAGCCAGGGAGGAGAGGGAAGGAGGGCATCAAGGAAGTGGCATGGGGTTGTGGTCCACAGTGAAAGTGATGTTGCCATGGGGATGGGGAAGCAGGCCAGGGTGGGGCAGCCCCAGCTGGAGGGCAGAGCTGTGAAGGCCAAGGAACAGTGAGAAGAACTATGAGCAAATGGGTGTGGCTGGGGCTCGGGGTCTCCTGAGGGGTCTACAGTGCCATGCTGAGGAGACCGGCCTTAGCTGGAGTGCTGGAGGGCTGTTGGGCGTCTCAGCAGAGAAAGGCGCCACCATTAGGCCGGTTTTCAGGGAATCACACTGATAGGTATGTTTTCTCTCACTGGATACACTGCTTCCCTCGGGGAGCTCCCTCTGCACATGCAAGGTCAGCCAGGGACTGCTTGGCTCCTACCTTCACGAACTCTCTAGGTTTTCTTACCCTTTGCTTTGAAGCTCCGTGAAGGCCTGCTCTGGGGAAAGGGAGGGGCGAGGGATGGGTTCCAGAGATGATCAGGCTCCACCTGGATCATGGAACGAGGCACAGGCCTCCAGTGTGTTGCAGGCCACATTCCCAGCTCCTGGTGGCCTCCGATAGGCACCCAGTTCTGCAATGTGGGAACGGGAAGAAATGGGCTCTGGAAAGTCTAAGAAGGACTGCAGTAGAGACCCTGCTAGTGACAACGGGGTGATTGGTACTGGGCTTTCTGTGCCCAACCCCCTCAACCCCTACCACCTACTCCCTTTCCTTTTCTCGGTCATCCTCAGCGAGGCAACCAGCATGTGTCCTGGCCTGCCGTCAGCTTCCTGGTGCTCTCCTGGGTCTTCGTGCTCATCACCATGATTTTGGCTGCGGTCGGGGTAATCCCATGGCTGCGATTTCTCTTCTGCTTCTCCTACATCAAGCTCGCAGTGACGCTGGTCAAGTATTTTCCCCAGGTACTCTTCACATGGCCATTAGCGTGAGAGGGATGAGACACAGGGCCTGGGTGCTGCTCGCATGGGGCAGCTTCTAGCTGGGGTGAGGAGATGTGCCACAGCGCAGGGCCAGGCAGAAAGCTGGCCGTAAGCACTGCCGCTCTTCCCTGAAGCCAGGAACCACCTGAGGGTCAGTGGAGACTTCTCTGAGCTCAGGCTCAGCTCTGAGAGTCAGGTCACTTGTCTCTCCATCCCAGTCTTTCCTACGGACATCAGTTCTGCCCCCCATTGCTACAGCCGGTGACCCGGACAAGCAGCGGCAGGATACTTGGGAAAGCAGCCCAGCACTGCAACCTCTGACCTCTGTCTCCCATCCAGAGAGGTTTTCTTCAGAGGTCCCATCCGGGGTCCACCTTAGGGACCCTCAGCGTGCTCCCTCAAGTACTGGGTCCTATTCAGATGCAGAGACTTAGAGTCTAGCACATCTTCCCCCTTAGCCCAGACGGCCCAGGAGCAGGGGAGGCACGCAGGACAGCAGCCACTGGCGGGCTCCACCCCGGAATCTAGGGCCTCCTCTGACTTGCCCCATTTCCCATGGAGGAGCCTCCTTTTCAGTTTCCCCAGTGCAGGGAACCTGGTATTTCATGGGCTCAGGAAGGAAAGCATTTGGGCCAGAGTCCAGGCCTGTCTCTTGGAGGGCTTGGAAACAGATCCAGGCTCTTATGGATGAGCAGGACTTAATTTTGTGGGCAAGAGAGGAGGGGGCATTCTAGGCTGGGGGCAGTCTGCACAGTCAGAGGAGTGCGGGAGGTACCAAGAAGCACTGTTGAAGCTAAAAAGGTAGGGTCAGGCCTTCGGGGGCTGGGGAAGAAGGCTTCGGAGTGGGCTGGGGGAGGTCTTGAGGGAAGTAGGGCCCACAGTCCCTGAGTGTGGGAAGGCTTGGGCCTGGTCAACCCAGGAGGCAGGAGCTCCACTCGCAGATGTTTGGAATTGTCCCAAGACTAGAGAGGTGGCCACAAGCGTGAAAGAGGGTGGGAGAGGATGAAGAAGGGGACCGGACGGGAGGCTGACTGAGGGAAGACCACTACAGAGGCCACATCCTCTTGGGTGATAAGGAGGTTTGCCCCAATCAGAGAAGTCCAGAGGGTTCTGGCTTTGGAGGAAGGATGTGGGCAGTGGCAGCAGAAAGTGGGGGGATGTCCAAGTGGACCCACCGACTAGACCTAGGAAGCCTGAGATGGAGTCTCCAGAGCCCAGCCAGAGCTGAGGGGGGAGTCAAGTCCAGTCTACAGATGGGGAAAACTGAGGTTAGAACTTCAGTAACACTCCCAAGATAACCTCCCTCTAGTGGTGGAGCTGGGATGCCAGACCAGGAAGTTGACTCCTAGCCCATGTTCATAAGCACAACATGAAGTCCAGGCTGAGTTTCTCCTTCACTGGAAGTGAGAAGAAAAATCAGTTGCTAGAAAACCAGGATAGGGTTTCACCCCAGAACAGGGAAGGATAAAGAAGATGGAGAAGCAACATCTCCCCCTCCTTTGCAGTTGTGAGGTGCAGGGATGTGAGGAGAAGAGCTGTTGGCTGTGCACCCACATGAGACCCTGGGACCCGCCCATACTGTTCCCTCTGCTGGTGGGGACTTGTCAGAGCCCAAAGGTCACTGTGTTCCTTGATGCCGAGGCCCAAGCACATGAGTGGGAGGAATGAGAGCTGCTCTTGTTTGGAGTGACGGTCACAAGGTCTAAGAGGCAGCCACCCAGCCCCCTCACTGCCATCGTTCTGTCTGTCTGAGCTAGGCCTACATGAACTTTTACTACAAAAGCACCGAGGGCTGGAGCATTGGTAACGTGCTTCTGGACTTCACTGGGGGCAGCTTCAGCCTCCTCCAGATGTTCCTCCAGTCCTACAACAATGGTGAGTCAGCCAGCAGGCTGCCTGCCCATCTGGTGGGCTGCAGGCACAGGGTGGGGCCAGGCTTCCTGGGATACCTCTCTCCCACCCCCCACCCCCCAGCCCTTCAGCCTGGGAATCCAACCCAGTCCCAGCACCCAGGGGAGACTCACCTAGGGGCCTTTGCAGCTGGAGGATTTGTGGTTTTTCTGGGCAGATGAGGACACCTCCCCACCCCCACACAGCCCCGCTGCCCCACATGCTCCAGCTGTTTCAGGAGCTGCCAACTTAAACCCAAACTCTGTCCCCTGTGACTGTTAACAGAGCAGTGGACACTGATCTTTGGAGACCCAACCAAGTTTGGACTCGGCATCTTCTCCATCTTCTTCGATATTGTCTTCTTCATTCAGCACTTCTGCTTATACAGAAAGAAACCAGGGTATGACCAACTCAACTAGCACCCAGGGACCCAGCATAAATGGCCCCGGGTCGTGTGCCCACCAGGAAGGCCGAGGCAGAGGCTGGAGCGCAGGGCTGGCTCAGTGTGCTGACAGTGTTGAAGTGCTCTCTTCCTCAGGGCCAAACGTCTTACACACAAACCAGCCTGCCTTCAGCCAGGACTCTCCCAGGCCGGGCTGGGGAGGAGCCTCCCCCGAGACAGACACCAGACTCTGCTCTGAGATGGAAAACCACACCGCTGACGGCCCCTCCCAGGCCTTGCCAGCCAGGCGTCTGGCCCTCCTGCATCTTGATGCCACCGTCTCTATTTTCTTTAAGGCTTCAGGCAGCACACACGGGTTTGAACAGCTGTCCCAGGCAGGATTGGGTGCTGAACTTGGAGCCGAAGGCCTTGACCTAAGCAACCAGTGTTTCTGGGAGCAGCTTGAAGGACTGACCCCACAGTTGTGAGCCAAGGGTGCTTTGCTGCCACTGCTGTGTTCCCAGAGACCCAAGCAGCCAGGTGGTGTGGCCAGTGGACTCAGAGGTGCTGGTGCTGATGCTGGTGGCAGAGGGGACAGGACTGATTGGGGGTTAGGCCTTGGGGGAGGGGGTCCCTTCTCTGAAGGCCACATGCTCTGAGCATTCATCTTCCTGACACTCATTCTACATAATTCAACACCCACAACTGTAATCACAGGTCGCCCAGGCTAGGGTCTGGTAAAGAAACTGGATTTCTGAGCCTTGAGGTGCCCAACAGATTGGTTCTGAGCTACGCTTACGCCCAAACCCTCTGGATCTTTATCATACTACCCCCTTTTGGATTTTTTGGAGGGATGTTTTGGAAGGGAGTGGCTTAATTTCTTCACCTTCTGCCTACCTCTACTTTCCCAGAGTCAGGGACCCTATGTACCCCTTCAGCTGCTCCTTATCTTGTGTCTGAGTATAGGACACGTGTGCGCATGCACACACACACACCATTCTGTGCCTTAGAGGCCATAAGACCTGCCAAATGGTGAGAGTAGCTCCCCTGTAGGGGAGGGCTGGCCCCCTTCCTTCACTTACCCCAGACACCTTCCTGAGACTCACCAATTTTTTGGCTATTCAGGAGCCTCACCTAAGGACTTGAGACCACCTCACATAGTCCTCATGGGCCCAACCCTTATTCCAAACCTCTTTCCCTCTTTTCCCAGGCAGCTATCCTTCCTGTGGCAGGAGGGGAGGGTCCCAGGATGTGCCTTGTCAGCTCACTCTCAGACTTTTTACTACGAGACTAATGAGGTGCTTATATCCTTAATTAAAACCTGATTTGTTTCCTTTCTGCACACGGAGCATTTTGCCAGATGTGGGAGGACAGGTGTGTTGGCTTCAGAACCAATCCTTAGGGTTTAGGGAGACAGCCCTACTCACGTCACGTAAGGAAACGCATGGGTTGCAAAGTATGCTGATGGCGGGGTAGCTGCGTACTGACCTGGCAGTTCGTCAGGGGAAGCCTCTTGGGTAGTGCAAGATGCCTGCCTGCTCAGGGCCACGTGGGTCCCACGGGTGCCATGTCTCTGCAGGGCATGGTGTTCAAGCTGGGGTTGTGAGCATGGGCTGGATGGGTTAAGGGCACTCTCACTGAGGGGGAAGGGGAGGTGTCTTATTTTTCAATGATTCCTCTATCCAAATTATCAGAGAATTTAGGATTTTGTTTCCCTAAAGCAGAGATTGTAGAAATGGGAGATTTCAGATTTGAAACTTTGAAAAGCCGGATTTGGCAGTTTTGGGTGGGTCCACGAATGACAGTAATTCCAAGAGCTGGTAGGGCAACCAGTGCTGGGCCAGGCAGAGGCCCCGGGCGGGTCTCCAACTTAGCCCCGTCTCATCAGACCACAGTCTCTGGAAATGTGGAGCCCCACTCCTGTCTGTGATAACTGTACGCTCTCAAGAGTCTTAGGGGGTAGGGGTTTTTTCCATGAACCCCGCAGTGCCCAGGAGCCCCTCCCGGGTGGAGCACAAGCTGAGTTACACAGGGGACCTTCCAGTGAAGGTGCTCCCCGATGTTCCCACCGATGCGGCCCTGGCCGCACAGCAAGTGGCAGGCCTGGCATCAGCTGGGCTTCGTCTCAGAAGTGGTTGGGGGCCAGGGTAGTCAGCCCTACAACCAAAGCTCTAGCCACCATCGACCCCCAGACACCCCTACCCTGTGCCTCAGCAAAAACCCCTTGTGAATTCCAGCACTGTTTTATTTGGGCCCAAGATGTCAGGTATGGGGCAATTTCATACTACCCCATTTCCGTAGGAACCAAAGCAACGCTGTTATTCCCAGGTGTGAATTAGTAAGATAAATTTAAGAGTAGAATTGGCATTTCCAAATAGTAAGGTAAAAATGCTTTTGTATCAAAGTTGTGATTAAAAAAATATAAAGTTAAACCCACAGGCGTAGAAGGAAATGGCAATCCTGAGAACTGCCCTGAAATGTCAGCCTCGAACTTCATCTAAATCTTTTGAGCAGGTGAACCCTGGGGAGGCCAGCGCCCCTCGGGGGCGGGGGGCTGATGGGGTCAACTGTGAGCCCGCCTGGCTTCCATTTGGGCCAAGCTGTGTACTTCCTCTGGCCGTATGTCAAATCCCTGCTGGGGAAGGCAGGAAAAAACATGGGGTACAGTCACTGCAGAGCTGAGACACGGGGGCCAGGCCAAGCCCTGCAGCCAGGGCTCAGTGTGGGAAAGGCTGGCTCCAGCCGGCATTCCCCAGCTTTGTGGTGGCTCTCAAGAAGTGGGGGGCCTTCCGCCCATTTGGGCATTGCTGAGGCCACACAGCAGGGTCTGAGGGCCAAGCCTGTGGTCGCTACAGACTGATAATTCTCAGTGTCTGAGCACGAGAGCTGGTCCCAGAGCCTCGGGCCAGTGGCGGGAGGTGGGGAAGGAAGGCTGGATCAGGTCCCAGGGCCAGGCCTCCGGGACCAGCTCTGGCCCTTCCGAGCTGGAGCGCAGTACTCAGCAGAAGCCAGGGTGAGGGACACACAGAGCGTGGAAGTGGCGTCCCTGCAGGCAGGCAGGCACGAGTCCGGGACCGTGGCGGGCCGCTAGGACAGCATGGACTGCTGCACTGCCTTCTGCAGCGACTGCCGCGTCACCAGCAGGCGCACCACCTCCTCCGAGCGCTTGGTGAGCCGCTTCCGGGCTTGGTCGTGCGTGACCATGGTCATGTCCCAGCCATTCACCTGGCCCAAGGAGAAAATACAGCCTACCTCAGTTCTCTGCCTTCTGGGATCTGGAAGCAGGATGGGCTTTGGGGTCCTGGGTCACCCAAGCAGGCTCCCAGGCTGATGTGTCCGGGCTGGGGGTGCCAAGCACCACAGGTGAGGCACACAGAGGGGAGAGTCCGCCCCCTCTGGGAGCAGCACCAGCACGCGCTCCTGACGGTTTCAGGGAGTCTCCCAGCTGCCTCAGGAGGCAAGGGCAGCCCCTAACCCCAAGTGCTTCAGACCCTCGGGCCCAAGCCCTGTTTTCCTCCTTTGGGACATGTGTTACCTGCATAATCTTGTCTCCAATCTGCAGCCCAGCAATTTCAGCAGGGCCTCCTTCAGATACTCGTGTGACATAAATGCCCTGGAAAGAAACAGCCCAGGTCAAGCCCCAGTGTCACTGGGACTGGCACCTTATCCCCAGAGCAAAGCCCAGCATGGCAAACTCCCAGCCATCCAACTGACTCTGCACCAAGTCTGTCCCCCAGTACAGGCTGTGCCAGGACAGAGCTGCCCCACCATGCTCTGGCCCCTGCTGCTGGCCTCTTCCTGTTCCTCCTGGGCTCTGTCTGAGTGAGTCTTCCTAGGGCTGGGAGGTCTGCTCCCCACCCCCATCCCTACTTATCATTTCTTAAACCTTCCTAGGACTGTTTGAAAGACACAGGTCTGTTCCTTCCATGAAGGCCCTAGAAACAGAGACCCACACCATCTCAGGCCTTTGTCCCCAGTGGAAAAGTCCCAGGACCCTGGTCCCGCTCACCTTGTCTGTCTTATCTTCTGAGAATGGATTCTGGGAGGGATCCTGGTCAATTCCACCTCCAATACTGAAGCCCAGTATTAAATTCTCACCTTGACGCAGCTTGTGAATTTCAACTCTTTGCTGGCAAAGGAAAAAAGGAGTTGGGGGCAGGTTGGTGTGTGGACAATGAATCTGGTCTGTCCAGCAGCAGCCTCAGGCTGCTGGGCCAGCTCAGAGCCATGCCAAGGGGGTGGAGCCCAGGGCCCTCTGCAGGATTCCAGCTGGTCACCACCCTGGGAGACTTGCGTTGGGTGGGGGGGCGGGGTAGGTTGAGACTCAGTTCTCAGCCACAACAACCCACCTATGCAACCTTCTGTCCTAGCCTCTGTTCCCTTCCTGTTAGTCTCAGGCACCAGCCTTAGTCAACATGTACTCCTGGTCCAAGAGCCAGGATGCTATAGATGGGGGGCCTGTGTCCCAGGGGAGGAGCCACACAGGGCAGAAGGGGTCAGGCCCTGGGGGAAAAAAAAAAAATGTAGGTACCTTGCTGAGGCAGCTCATTGCTGAGCCAAACCTGTCAAGGGCAAGATAAGATGCTCCAAAAAAAGAGAAGTTCACACTTGCACAGAAAGGAGAGGAAGGGCTGTCCTGGTCCAGGGACAGAGGCAGAGGCTTGAAGGTACTATGGATATATGTCCATGAGATGAGTGTCCACTACAGGACTGGAACTGGGAGGTGAGGTGAGGCTAGGGCTAGCTCAGGAAGGCTGTGGAGTGCAGGCCCAAGAGGCTGGCCCTGAGGGAGGGGGTTTCTCTGTCAGCCCCAGACCCTGCTCTTGTGCAGTGGAGGAGGCAGAAGAGGGTTCTAGAGCTCTCCCACCATACTCTGGGGCTGTGGTCCCTAAACTGCTAGGCTCCTTTCAAAGCCCTCAGCAGGCACCCTCCAATCACCAGGGCATAGGGGCTAGACCAGATCACCCCACCCCAAAAGTTGAGTTTACAGGAAGAAAAAAAAACCAAAGTGACTTGATCTGGACCTGAAGAGTTTCAAACCAGGCCTTGAATGACGGGAGTATGAACACCTGACTTTGATTCTGGGCCCACTAGAGCTCTCAAGAGTCCGGAAATAAGGTTGGTCATGGTCAGGTTTGATGCTAGAATGACCATTTGGGCAGTTAGGAGGGGAATGGATGTCTTCCAGCGGTGGGATGTGGAGGCCAGGGGACATGACTACTTGGAAAGTGAGATCAACAGATTTGAGGACCGCTTGTGGTGGAGAGGAGTCAAAGGAAGCACCCAGCCAAGTGGCCTGGCTGAACACAAACCTCTCCCAGCTGGGGACACTGAAGAAGCATTTTGGAGTGCCAGGAGCCACCCAGGCAAATGTCCAGAAGGCAAATGGACCTATGGAGCCAGAGTTCAGAGAAGCCAAAATGGTTTTAACATTCTCAAGATATTAACTACATGGGATAAGGCAGGGACCTGGGAGGAAGCCTCCCCTACCCCATCCCCAATCCAAAACACAAGAGAGGCCAAACCCCACCCAGCACGTTCAGACACGTTCCTAGTGTTAACAAGAATTGGGAGGGCACAGTCTTACAGTTCTGAGGAAGGCCCGAGAACCTGCCATGACAGGAGAGAGAGGAAGCAGGAAGTGTGACCCCTGAAGTCCACTAGACCGAGATCCTTGTGCCCAAAAGTGAATTCCTCCAACACCTTTGCACACCTTTGAGCCACCCTCAAGATTAGAAGGCAGTACAGGCCCTTGGGCTGGAAGACAAGGCCCTGTCACTGACTTACTAGGTGCGATCAGGCAGGTTACTGCCCCTTTCTGTGCCTCCCCTACACCGCCTTTCCTCCCCCACCCCCCCACCCCCATTTGAGAAGCAAACCTGGCCCCTTTGAGGCAGCTAGGGCTCTAGAAAAGCAAGGTTGGTGCAGTCAGGGTGAAGCATAGGACAGCTGTCTGCAGGTGCAGAAATGTTTCTTAGCAGCCCAGGCCAGAGCTGGTTCTCTTAAGCCCAACCTCACATGCCACTTTAATCAGTGACTTCACACCCTGTCAGCGCCTGACTCCCCTGCACACCCATCTGAGATACTGCAGCCGGTCCCGTGGCCTCAGGACTGGGACTTCCATCTGACCCAAAGCCTGCCCAGCAGGCATTTCTTCTCAGAGATCTGGGTTCTTCCTGTGGGCTTCCTTTAGGGCTGGACGTGAACAGACCTCTCTCTGGAACTCAGTTCCTCCACCTCCGCCTCGGAGTCGGCCTCCACGCCCCACTCAGCTTTGGCACTGGCGTCTGAGTCTAATGTCCCAGTCTCTCTCCTTCCCTTTGCCTATTCTAATAGCACTTGGCACCCAAGACAAGCCAATGGCGAGAGCCAGGGGCCTGAGCTAGCCCCACAGGGCCTGGTCTCCTCAGGCCCCAAGTGCCCGGCGGGGCACCCGGACTTTGTCCCAAGGGCTGGGGAGCCAGGGAAAGTTTGGAGCAGGAGTGAGCCAGTTGCGTGCGCCTTCACTCTGGAGCGGGCGGCGCTGGGTCCGAGCAAGCAAGGCTGGACGGGAGGGATAAGAGCCGGCTTGCTACTCAGGGCCCGGCCACCTCCACCGCCCCCCCCCCCCCCCGTCTCCCTCTGGGCGGCGGCGGCGTCTCCGGCAGGGGAGGAAGCACTTCCTCATTCCAGAGGCTGCGACTCGCGGCCGTCGGGGCTGGCGCCCGCCCCCCGCCGCTGCCCAGCTGAGGCCTCGGGCCGGGGAAGGGGGCGCTCTCCCGATACTCCCACAGCTGGGGATTTTTCTCCTCAGTCCTTCCCGCCTCTGCCGGCTGGGTGGAGTCCAACGAGCCGGCGGCAGTGCGCGGGGTCTGGTCGCGACTCCGGGTGTTCCGGGGGAACTTGCGCCCCGGCCATCTCTATCGCCTGGCTGGGGAAGACCGCGGTCCCGCTGGGACAGAGCCGGAACCGGAGCCCTGGCCGCCGGTTTGCAACAGCCCTGGGTTCCACGCTTTGTCAACCTGTTCGGGGTGTCAGTTTTCCTATCTGCAAACTGGGGCTAAGCCAAGACCGAGAGGAGCCCGCGAGCGCACTCACCACCACGGCGGTGACCGGCTGGCCCGGGATGTAGGACATCTCGACCCCAATCTGGAAACCAAGCCCAGCTCAGGGAAGCCCACAGCGAAAATCCCAGCAGCCGCGCCCTCCCTGCTTAACAAAGGCACCCCGACTCGGGCCGCCCCTTCATGAATACTAACAAAGCCCCAGCCAGTCACAGGTCGGAGCGCTGTTCGGCTTCCGGAAGTCCCTGTGCGAGCGTAGAAAGGCGGGGAGGGGGTGGGCACCCGCGTCAGGGGGGGCGGGAGCGAGGTTTTGGCGCATGCGCAGCGTGGGTCCTCCCAGCAACCTCCAGCGCAAGATGGCGCGGGGAGGTTCTTTGCCGCTGGCCGTCTGACGGGACGCCAAGTGTCTGTGTCCGCCGCCGTGTTGCAGGTAACTGGGTGAGCCTGGGTGGGCCGGCCCGAGCCCTCGGCCTCCTCTGCGTCTTTTGAAGGTCCGAGAAGCAGGAGTGGTGGGAGATGTTGGAAGTCCCGGGGGGAGGGGCGGCGTTAACGTAACTCGCCAGGCTCCGCGGGCCAGTTGCAACTTGGTTTTCTCCGCAGCTCCGCGAAAAGACAGAGGCTGAGCCCGGGCGAGTGCGATGGCCGCTGTGGTGGCCAAGCGGGAAGGGCCGCCGTTCATCAGCGAGGCAGCTGTGCGAGGCAACGCCGCCGTCCTGGATTACTGCCGGACCTCAGTGTCAGCGCTGTCGGGGGCCACGGCCGGCATCCTCGGCCTCACCGGCCTCTACGGCTTCATCTTCTACCTGCTTGCCTCCATCCTGCTCTCCCTGCTCTTAATTCTCAAAGCGGGAAGGAGGTGGAACAAATACTTTAAATCACGAAGACCCCTCTTCACAGGAGGTCTCATCGGAGGCCTCTTCACCTACGTCCTGTTCTGGACGTTCCTCTATGGCATGGTGCACGTCTACTGAATGGGGGCAGGGATGACTTTTTTTAAAAAAACAGATGGGGAGGACTGTCGCCAGAAATTAACACCGTGTAAACTTAGTTTTTAAATTGTTGAATTCGCTGCTTGTTCTGTAACGTTATAATTTATATCTGAAGACGAAGAGCCTGTAATATTCTTCAGATTAAATGAAGCGTGAGACACTTCGTGGAGTATTTTCGTACCTTCGCTCATACCCCATGTCTGCCGTGGTGCAAGACGCCAAATTTTGACTCCTAGAGAGCTGGGGCTGGGTCTTAGCCTTCTGTAATTTCCTTGCATTTACACGGAGGCCATCCAGAGAGGACCAGTAGGGCCCAAGTAAAGAGAACTTACTGTTAACATCCTAAGAACTAGTAACAGTTAATATTAAGCGTTTCCTATATGCCAGGCATTGTGCCTTGTACCTTTTACACCCGTTACCTCATTTAATTCTAGCAATATCCTCATGGGGTCGATATAATTATTATCCTTCATTGATGAATCTGAGGCTCAGGTTAAATATACCTGTGCCGTAAGAGGCCCAGCTAGAAAGAGAGCCAAGTTTGAAATACAGGTCTTTAATAGCTCTTGCTGTTCTGGCTGAGTGTACTTTTTCAGATGCCAGCCGCCCCTCTCAGTAACCACCGCTTTCAGGTGTGAATTTCAGTTCCATTTCCTCTAGTTACAGCTAGCTGTCATTTCTGTTTTAAATACGTTCAAGCTTTTTACTAGAATATGTCTAATGGAGATTAAATAGAAGACTTAATTTAAGCTAAACTTTGGGCTTGTTGAGAGTGTAGTGTAATGCTTCTGTCTATGTGCTAACCCATGATCCCTGCTTGTCAGAGGGTATCTTAGAATAAAGTACATACATTTGAGAAATACATACTGCATTAGAGTCATAGTAGTGAACATGTTGCTCATGGAATTTGTAGTCTAACTGGGAAGACCAGTATTACCTATTACCTAGTCAGTTAGGTGTCTGACTGGATTTCGGCTCAGGTCATGATCTTGGGGGGGGCGGTGGGAGGGAGTCTTGGGATGGAGCCTGCCTCAGGCTAGGAGCTCAGCAGGGAGTCTGCTTCTCTCCCTCTCTCTGCCCCCCTCCCTAGCGCGTGTGCTCATGATCTCTCGCTCAAAATAAATCTTTAAAAAAAAAAGTCTTCTTTGAGGAAATTACATTTGAGACCTCAAAGTTGAATAACAAGTATGAAGAAGGGGCTACTTTCAAGAAAGCACATGTGTGAGGACCACTGGGTAGGAAGGAGTTTGGCCTGTATATGGAGAGTTGGAGAAGAGGCCAGGACCAGTAGTTGGACCAGATCATGGAAGGCTATAGTGGAGATTTTGGCCTTAATCCTTAGAGCAATTGGGGGAAGCCTTTTGGAAGTTTTAGCCAGAACTGATGTGATCACATTTGGATTTTTTCAAAAGAATGTTTCAGATCAGAAGAGGATCTGAGCTTGAATCCAAGTCCCCTTTTACAGACAGTATGTGGCCCATGGCCAATAACAGAGATGAATCTGGGACTCTGACCTCCTGAAGGCTTTGGGGTTCTGGACCACATGCTTGCACACGAAGGGAAGAAACAGGTAAGGCCACAGTTTTGCCTCCCTCACCCAGTGACCTCCAAACCCTTTCTCAGGACACCACTGAAGAGGCTCACAAGCATGGTTTGCATACTCACCCTTCTCAACCTCCCTGTCCTCTCAGGGCTTTTCTCTCCGTGGAAAGGGAAAGTTCATTCCTGATGTGGAGTAAAGAGGCAGTCCTACTGGATGGGGGGGTAGTGCGGAATAAGTGAGCTGATTTACTTAACCATTTCTCTATCACTAGGCAGTAAGGTTGTTTGAAATGTTCACTATTTTAAAAAATATTGCAGAGACTGTCTTTATATCATTTTGAGGGAACTTAATAAACTCCTAAAACAAGGTAAAAACTTGATTCCAAATGCTTTCCAGAGTTTTATCTGATAACACTCATTGAATGAAAAAGTACCAGTTTTATGGTGCCTTCCTAGCCTTTTAATGTTTGCTCATTTAGAGTTTCCTTACTTCCATTTGAATTTCTTTGCAAGATAATAGGGAACATAATCTACTGCTCACTGATTGTTCCCGTGTCTGCCTCTTTTGGTCTCACTTTCTCCTTACATTTTCCTCTAAAACACAGGGTGACCAAGAAGATATGAAGGGGGGAAAAGAATTAAGATACATTTAAAGTTAAAACCTTTTATTGTTTTATAACCAAATAAAAATATCAGATTACGTTTATAGGGCAGGTCCCAGACAAGGGCTGCCATCTTTCCTCCTTTAATTCTGTGCACTGGCCTAAGGGAAAACAAACAGCCAGGAGAAAGGTGTGCCTTTTGAAGAGACAGTACTCTAGGGTCCACTGGAGAGTATGCTCTGAGGAAAGTTGCATCACTTAGGCGGGTGGATTGTAATCAAGTGGAGCCCTTTTTCAGACATGCAAGATGCCATTCCAAGTGGGGTGATTTAGGGACTCTGCAGAGCACTGTAGTCCTTAGCTGGGGTGCTCAGATACCTGAAGGAAGTCCTGTTCCCCCTTTACAGCACTGAGAAGAACTGATGAGGTGGTGGGGGCAAGAAGGCAGCCATGACTGGTCAGCCCTGGTGAGGACACTTCGCTCTCTCATGGCTGGTCCCCTGGATAGTAGCACCCAGTTTACAGATCCCATTGGCCAGCATCATGGCACTCCCAAGGCATGGACTTAATCATGAGGAAAATACCACGTGGATGGCTTTAGGCAGGGCCTGAGGGTAGGCATAGATGGTTCAGGTGATCCTGTAATGTCAGCATGGAAAGGAGCTCTGGAGAGGCTGATATGCTCATCTTCCTGAGGAGGCAACTGGTGCCCTGAAGGGAAGGAGCCTTCCCAAGTGGGGCTCGGGTTCCCACTTCACTTCCCATTTCAAAGCCAGTTTCTGTAAGATTCAGGAGCCTCCCACTCATGCACCAAGATTATGCACACACACACAAAAAAGAGGGGGGCTGTGCAACAGCAAGGAAACTGGCAGTGTGCAACACTATCCAGAAGCTGGACTGGGGTCACTGGCTTTTCTGAGCCCGGGACCCAGGATGTGTAGGGGAAGCCACCTGGAAAGCTTGGCTGGACTGGAAGCTGAGTCCTCTGTGACACTGAAGCTGAATGGCAACCCTTAAAATTAAAGTCAGTGGATGGAAGGAAAGCCTCATAAAATCAGATTCAGTCACACTGTCTCCATCCAGTTCCTCAGTTACTCCTTCTCATGTCAAGGTGTTCATTTTACACGTGTGCTTCCCTTACCTGGAATGCTTCCCCATGGCCTAGTTAGACCGCTTTCAGGTTTGAGCTTACATGTCACTTCCTTGGGGAAACCTCTGGCTACCCCTTACTGAAAATGCAGTTTGTGGTCACAGGCGTGACCACTAAGGTTCACCTCCTCCAGAGACTGCACGCACTTGGACAGGGACAGTTTCTGTGTTTCTCACAACTGTGTCCCCATATCTAGTCCAGCACCGGACAATACGTACCCGATAAATATTTACCGATTGAGTACTGTAGGGAGCCATTCTGATCCCAGGGTAAGACCAATAGTATAACTTTCCCCAATTTACGTGGCCGCTGCCAAGCAATTCCAAAAACGGGTTCACACAAACCAGACTGACTCCTAAGCAGCCAAGGCGCCTGCCCTTTTTACTTCCTCCCGAACATGAAAGTACCACGCTAGATTATCAAACCCTAGGGTTTGCCTTAGTGAGGAAGTGAACACCATAGTGGATCACCCGGATTTTTCACTTTCCATTCAGAGAGCAAGTGGGCTTGTTGACAGGTTACTCGACAAGGAGCAAGCTTCCTGTTTGGGGGACCATGCTTCTTGGCCCCAGGGGCACAGCCTTCTTGCAAGTCCCTCTGACCCTCTCTAAAGGCTCCAGTGGAAGGATGCTTCCCGCCTCCTGTGTGTGCAGAGAACCAAACCCTTCTGACTTGGCGGAGGCCCAGAGAGCGCACTTCCAAAGAGGATGCTCCCTAGCGTCCGGGTAGGTGTGCGGACAAAGCACCGGGCTTGCTGGGCCAGAGGCAGCACCCGGGCCTTTGCTACTGAGCAATCAGACAGCAGTGCGTGATGAGTTCTAGGTCTCTCCTCTTGGCTTTACACAGGGACTCCTCAGACGCTGGGAGAGGGAGAAGTGAGCTAGCCGACTCCCCAGCCCAGTACTTAAGTGTCCTCCATCGTGTCCCTTTCTGACAGAGGACACTTGGCCTGATGTTGCAGGCATCAGGAAGAGTTCATTTCCTGAGTGAGGGCACAAGTAACCAAGTAGATGCTCAGCGAAACAGGAGAGCCTCTCGAAATGGGTAACACAGGCTGCCTTGGGGAACAGGGGTGGGAGGGGAGCTCTTCACTGTCATCTTTTGTGCCTTTTAGTTTTTGAATCATAGAAGTATTATCTAGTCAAAATATTTTAATTTAAATACACCGAGCTTGCCACTTTCCTGGGGGTGGGGGTGGGGAATCCTCTTGCTCTCAAAGTACACTATGTGTAAGTCTGACCTAGACATTGGCATCACCTGTCATAGCAGGCCTTCTCCTCCCTGGGAACCAGGCTTGGCAGATCTCCTTAACCCGTGCTCTCAAGCAGCAATGTTCACACGGATCACCTAGGAATCTTCTTGAAACACAGGTTCTGATGTAGGACAAGGGAGGGGCCCTCGACTGCCATTTCCAACACGCTCCCGGGGAGGCCGCTGGGCCACACTTGAAGAGAGTCTCTACAGCCAGTAGGGGGGAAGCAGCACCGTTCTGCAGGGTTGGGGCGGGATAGAGTGGGGCGAAGAAGGAGAGGCTGGGGTGAGGGATGAGGGGCGAGGGCCTCCCTAGTAACGACTGCTTCCACCTGCCACGTGAGCGCCACCTAGTGTAGTCACCAGCCCTTCAGACCCAGCCTTTGAGGAGAAAGGGAGGGGGGCCAGGCAGGGTCACCCAGCTGCACAGGACTGGGAGAGACAGACAGAGGCACACGATCTCCCGTTTGGGTGAGACGCTATGCCCGAGGCCTCCTGAGACTGGGCTGGCAGACTGGAGCAGAGGTCTCCCTGCCTCCCCTTCCCCACCTTAGCTGGGAGCCCTCGAGGCTGCATCTCCCCGCAAGGGCCAGCTGCCCCCTCACACGTCCAGTCCTTTCCTCGTGGCCTCCTGGGCCACCTTTTTTATTCCTGAGGGCAAGGCCAGATGTCCCTGTGGATGTTGGCCAAAGTCTTTCTCTGAAGACCCAGGGGTCTCAACAGGGATTGTGGAAGTCTGAGCTAGAGGTGGAGGAAGGCCAGGCCGGCTGAGGCTGGCTGTGATTTCTGCCAGCTCTGGAGGGAATTACATCTCCCCGAGGGCCAGGTCAGCGTCTCATTTAAGCATCTCTTGGATGGGGCACAGCCCACAGCAAATAACGTGTATCGTGTGAATGAACGAATGAATGAATGAACGAACCAGGTTCTCAGAAAAATGAAAACACTCTAGTACCACCCAGGCCCGCGGCCTTCCCCCACTTGGCTCCCCAAGGCCTCCTCTTGCAGCTCGGAGCCACGCCGGCCACTAGGAGGGCCCCCTGGCCCCGCCACAGCCACGCACACAGCACACCCAGCACAAAGCCCGCAGCAGGATCCCAGGCAAACACACGACACTGCTCAGTTCAGGGCTGCGGGTGGTTCAGCCCCACCATCTTCACCAGATCTGCTCTCAGCCGACACCTCTGGCTATGCGTCCACCGTCTGCAGGTTCTGTAGCTGATCCACATTCACCTCTCCGTTCCCCAGGTGGCCAGACCTGTGTGTGGATGGGCGGGGGGCGGGGAGGGGCACACAGAGGACAATTGGGAACCCTGAGAACAGGGAAGGCCGCCCTAAAGGCAGAGCCCACCCGCAGCGCATCCAGAGAGGGGCCGCCCGGCGGAGCCCCCCGGCCACAGCCCAGCCGCATGCGGATGCTTGGGTTGGGGTCTCTGGGGCCATAGTGAGCAGCTGCCACTGTGGTGGCGCCCGGAGGGCACCGAGAGCCCCCACAGCAACAGGCAAGGAAAGCAACTGATGGGGGGCAGCAGAATGGGGGGCTTGATGAGGCAGAAAAGCCTGATGGAGAAGAAGTGGATCCCAGAGACTTACTGCCTGTGTTCAAATCCCAGCTCTGCCACGTATTAGCTGTGACTTGAGCAAGTTACTTAACCTTCCTTGCCTCTGTTTCTTCGTTAGAAGAGGGACGGTTAGTGTGCCCCCCAGTAAGTGGCCGGAACGAGTTCATACATACAAAGAGCTCGGAGAAGTGGCAGCAGAGTAAGCCTGAGGGAATGGTGGTGCCGCGAGCACACAGTAAGCAGGCGGCCTTGTGGTCACTTGGGGGCATGGAGGGAATACCAGGCTAAAGCGCCTCCTCTCCACACAGTCCAGCGTGGGTGGGCTCTCCTGGGTCCTGGACGTCCTGCCTCGTAGCCAGGCAGGAGGCAGGCAGGAGAGGAGAGGCCCACGCCATCTCTGCAAGGCTCATCCCGGGGTCCTCTGCCCCGCTGCCCCTCACCTGGGGGGCTGGAGGCGCTGCTGGCCTGCACAGCCTTTTCCCTTCCGGCAGCCGCCTCCGAGATGCGCCTCAGGCTGCCCGGCCTCCTCTGCCTCTGGGGTCCCGCCCTGCTGCGAGGGCTCTGCAAGCCCCGGGAGAACCCGGAGGATTCTGGGCAGGACAGGACCCAGGTAACCCTGGCCTGCAGGGCCCAGCGGAGGCAAGGGGGGGCACCCCTCTCCCTCCAGCCATGAGGGAGCAATGAGGGCTCCGTCAGGGTCAGGGTTAAAGGCTCAGCCTGCCTCAGGGCCGGTTCAGTCCGGGGAATGATGCGTTGTGGTGGGCACAAGGGAGTGCCCAGGTGCCCATCCGGAGCCCACCATCTGCAATCCCCCTTCTGATCCCAGCCCCTCCAGAACGGCTGGGCCAGAGCCTCTTTCCCCTTCCAATCTGCCCACAGACCTCAGGATTTCCGACTTACACTGTGTTCTGCCGCTATGAATACGCACATAACACACCACCAAGCTCAGGGCCCAAAAGAGCCTGGAAATAGACCCCCGCAGTAAAAAACAAGAAATCCGTCTTTTTCTTCCCTTACCACTCCAGCGTCCCTTAACCCCAGTCCACCAGGACTACCATGTCCAAGAATCCTAAAATTTAAGTGCTCAAAGGCTCACAGAGAGGGAAACTGAGGCCCAAGGAAGCCTGGGGGGACTTGTGTGAAGTCACATGGCAGACAGTGGCAGAGTCAGGCTGGGACACCAAGTCTCCTGCCCGTCCTAGGCAGGCCTTATTTTCTGCGGCTGCTGTGGGGCAGGATCCAGTTCTGTAAAGCAGGTTCTCCAAACATCCCACCTTCCGCCGCCCTTCTAGGGGGGCTCCCAACAGTGCAGCCCTGCCTCCCTCCACACCCCAAGCACCACCATCCAACCAGGGTAAAGTTTCTCGGCCGGGAATGGGAAGGCTGGTCAAGAGGGCTCCTCAAGGGTCCCCTCACACTGCTGGGGAGGAAGCATCACTGACCTCACTTCCTCATACTTCTTGTCTCGGTAAAAGTGGCTCTTCTTGATGAAGTAGATAAGTACCAGGTCACAGAAGAAAGCCCCCTGCAGCAAAAGAGTTGGGGTTCCTGACTCAGAATCCTAGACTTCCAGAAAGCGGCCTGCCACTTGACACACAGGACATCCCCCCATCTGATCTTGCACCAACCCCTAAGGGCATCATTGTCCCCCAATTAACAGGTGAGGAAACTGGGCTCAGCAGGAGGCACCTTTGTCAAAGGCCACAAAGCTGGTTCACGGTAGAGCCGAAGTTAGCCTGGGGCCCATCTGCTCTATCAGGCCAAGCACCCCCTGCACTACCCTGACCCCCCTCAATCGTGTCTTCAGTGAATGTCTGCTGAGCACTCACCATGTGCCACGCACTGCATGGGGTGCAGGAGGATTAAGACAATGAGACCCTGTGGGGACTGTCCCTCTGGTGCAGGAGACAAGCATGTAAATTATGACAGTGACATATCCTATGATGCGGACAGGAGCAAGGAAGCAGAGAGAAGACAGGACTTTACTCAGCCTGGGGATGGATATCTGGGCTGAGTCTTGAGGGCTGAATGGAATTTATACACAAAAAAAGGAAAGGAAAAGAAAAGACAAAAGAAAAGGAAAGAAAAAAAAGAAAAGAAAAGAAAAAGCCAGAAAGCCCAGGAAGGGCATTGCCCAAGTAGCAAAGGACATTCCACAGGGCCTGCGTTGTAAAAGTGAGAGACACTTCCGGAGAGGTGGGATGGGGACCAGCTGGGTCAATTTTCTTACAATGCCTTTGAGGCCTCGGTCCTAAGTCCTTAGGGGAAGACACTGAAGGGCCTTGCATAGGGGCAGGACGTATTTTAGAAAGGTGGGTTGGTCCCGTAGTCACTTTGAGAGATGGGTTGGAGGGGACCTAAAGAACAAGGCCAACAGGGGTGGTCAAGGAAAGATGGACCCAGCTGGGACCCACCAACAGCCGTTCACAGGAGCCTCGGACCAGAGTGCATGGGGCAAATCACAGAGGGCCCCTCCGCCCACAGCCCCGCGGGGAGGGGTGTGTCCTACAGGGCTGAGGAGTGGGTAAGGGGGTTTGGGGGCTGAGGGATGGGCTCATAGGTGAACCCGGGCCTCTGACTCTGGGTACTTCACGGTTCTCCCCCTGCTCCCCACCGAGGTGCCCAAATGTTACTTATCACTTCCCTGTTGCACAGAGAACATTCCTCCACCCAACCAGCATCCGCACCACTTTCCCTGTTTTCTTTATTTCACAGGTATGGACGCCAGGCCCTTGTGTCTGACTTACCCACAGCATGAGGAAGTAATGACTGACAGAGGCCCAGCTCTAAGAAAGTCACAGAAGCACACATGCAGGGCTCCCTAACAATGCTGGTTTGCGGTAAAGAGGACTCATTTGGGGCTCACTTTCAAGCACCACCTCTCAGGAGAATATGGCCTTGTTGCATCCTGTCCCCCTGGTCTTCATAAAAAGTCCACCCCAGGTCCTGCCGGAAGCCTCCAACAGGGCAGAGAGGACGAGGCTGCCGGAAACCCTGGCAAGGAGCTTGCCGGGAGGGGCACGAGCCACTGACAGTTCCCACGTCTTTAAGAAAAGTTCCAGAAGAACAAGCGGGCATGACAAGAGATTTGGAGGAAACCTTTGCCTACCCTCCAGCAAGTACTTCCTCTCCGGTGAGCCCCCTGGGCTCAGCTGAAGGGACAGATCTGAGGGAGGCCTGCAGCCTGACTTCCCTGCGCTCGTCTGTTAGCCCTGTGCCTTTCAACGGGGGGGGTGTGCGGTGTACGTCCCCTCCTGAGGCTGGGCAGGCCCGGGGAGGGGCACGTTGGAGTCCCTGGAAGCCTGCTGTCCACCCGTCCCATGTTCACCCTGCTTTGTTTTTGCTCCCCAGGAGACAGGCAATTTCTGGAGACGTTTTTGGTTGGGGAAGAAGGCAGTGCAGGCATCTAGTGAATAGAGGTGCCCAGCACCATGTTGTTAAACATCCTAGAGGACACAGAGGGCCCCACACAAAAAAGAATTCTCTGGCCCAAAACGTCAACAGGGACAGCTGAGAAACCCTGCAGATAGCTGGGTCCCGTCTCTTTTCGGCAGCAGCACAGATGAGCCTTCGGAAGTTCAGGGACTGAACCCGGATCCCAGAGAAGCCCAGCCCCGCCCCCAGCGCCAGAGCGCCAGACAGATGGCTCTCTGGCTCTGGAAACAGAAACTCGGGCAGTCACTGCCACCTGGGGGCTGCTGCCAGGTGTCAGGGCCCAGAAAGCCTGACCTGCATCCCACCGACCTCGCCCGCTCTTGTTCTTTCTGCAGCATCAGGACGGCACCTCCCGAGTGGTCCCCCCCACCCCCAGGCCAGTGCTCAGAGGGTAAAGGTGAGGGGGGGGCAGTACTCACAGCACCCATGAGCGCCACCCCAGAGCCAATGTTGACGACTGTGGGGATGAGGCTGAACTTCCCTGCCTGTAGCACAGAGAAACAAAGCAGGGTGAACATGGGACGGGTGGACAGCAGGCTTCCAGGGACTCCAACATGCCCCGCCCCGGGCCTGCCCAGCCTCAGGATGGGACGTACGCCGCACGCACCTTGCCGTTCACCATCACATCAAAGCGGATCCCATAGGCTTTCATCAGGGTGCGGAACTCCACCCCAGCAGCGTCTCGGTAATACTTGGCAAACCTAGGGGAGACCTTCCCTGCTCGGCAACACATACTTGGCTGCTTTGGGAGATTTATAAGCACCCCCCAAGACCCTGCTCTTAGCAGCCTTGGGGGAGGTTATAGATCGTCTTGCCAACACTGCGGTAAAGATTCATCCAGATCTTTGAAATCCTTACAGACATTCCCTAAGAGGCAAGGGCTTTCCCACTATATGCTGGGCCAACCCAGGGCCACCAAAGCACTGAGGGAGGTGACCTGGTTAAGAAGCCAAGCCTCAGCTTCCTGGTGAGCCCACAGGGTGACAAAAACTTCTCTCCTCTCCCAGCGATGCTCCCCCCTGCCATCCCTCACCTCTCCTCAGCTCTTTCTCCCTATACCTCCCACTCTACTATCCACCCCAATAAGGGGTGTCAGAGTGCTGGCACCCAGAAGAGGACAAAATGTGGACAGGGTAACAAGACAGCAAGTCTAGCCCCACTTACCTGAAGTTGTACCCAGAGGAGATTGAGTTTTCTGAAAATGTGTTGTCCAGACGGCTAAAAGAATAGTGAGGGTTGCATTCAGAAGGAGCTTTATCAAGATCACAATCCCATTCAATCTGAATTCCTATCACACCACCCTGATGAAGAAGAGACAAGAATCAGTGCACAGAACTTTGTGGAGTGGACAGAAGGCACAGACCAGCTCCTCACAGGGAGCTGGACAAGATGAGAAAAGTACTCAGGCCAAGGGTCAGCCCCCCTGGAGCATCCTTCCAGGAAGAAGGTGGAAGTTCCAGGGTCCTAGCCCCACCTTTGGTGTGGCTGAGGAAAGCACATCACCAAGAGCGCCCAACCGCAGAACCCTCCTGTTTCATGCTTCCATGAGCGAGCACCTACAAAGGGATGGGCACCTCACACGAGAGCCAGGATATGCCAATGGGGTTCCCTCTGGCTCTGTTTCAACGGATGCCCCGAGGACTGAGAACCAACAGCAGGTGCTCAGCGTGCCTCCCACCGATGCCTGAGTTCTGACAGACTGTGTGTCATAGCTAATTCTGAAGACAGTGAGTCCCTGGGGCAGGGAACTTTGTCCATCCCACCCCACAGGTCCCCCCTACTCACCATCCTCTTCGTGACAGAGCCCAGACCCAGAGCTCTTAGGCCCCCGGGCCCCCGGGCACGGCGCCCTGAGTGCACGCCACTCACCTGCACAGCTATCTCCTGGAAGTTGCTCCCGGTCCAGCTGACCACAGACCCCAGTCGGAAGATGGGGCAGTAGGGGTTCTTGGGGCCAAACTGACAGGACTTCAGGAAAGCTCTGTCATTGGTGTCCAGCACATTGGTCCTGAATGGAGGCCACGAACAGACAGTGAAATGAAGCTGAGACTTGCCGTTCCCAGGCCAGAGACAGCCTGGCCCAGGAGTCGCTGGGCCTTCACCTGGCCCAGGCTGAGTCCCTGACTTTAGCCTCGACTCAAGTCCTGACTACTCCCCCCTCAGCACACCCCACTAACCTATTGCATTCAAGGACAGAACCCCACTCCCACAGCAAGGGGAAGGGGTGCTCCAGCGTCACCTGGTGGTTCATTCACATACACCTCCACACCATGCACACGGGCCCACGCACAGTGACAAGGATGCAGATCCCCAGGCACCAAGTCCCACGTACTTGGAGAAGTTGAATTTGGGGAAACGAATGAAGTTCTTTATGTAAACGGTGAAGTCTTCAGCCTTGCCCAGCAGTGGCTTCCTGAAAACAAAGCCAGGACAGCCTGTCCAGGAGGCCCTGCCCCTGCTCCCTCTGTACATCCCCCCAGGCCTGTGGCAGGGCTGGGGCCAGCCCGCTCCCTGCAGTCCCTGGAGCCTTGGCCAAGGACCATTCATCTGCTCATGTTGCGGTGGTCCTAGGGCTTGGTAGGCTGTCCTCGGAAAGAGGATCTCAGGGTAGAGGTGTCTCCACCGTCAGGCTGAGACCCACTCACTGCCCAGGTAGCTCTTCTGGGTCCCAAGGCCGGAGCCACTCACACTGGTCTGGGCTTTGTCTCCACGGGGCACCAGGCGAACACCTCACAGGTGCCCCTCTGCATGCTGCCCACCCGCACGCAACGGCCAGTCTTCACTCCTGTAGGATTGGGGCGGAGATGATGCTAGAAGCCTCCTGGCTCCATCCCCCACTGTGCTCCCAGCCCTGGCCATTCCAGGCCTCACCATTTCCAGCCACAACAGGCTCCCCAGGGGGACAGTCACTGTCTGCGTAGCACCAGGCATCCGGAATGCTTTCGCTCTGTCGGAAAGAAAGGGCACCTGCGGGGGGGCACTTCCCTGCAGGGGCCCCAGTTCAGAACCAGGTCCCACCCCAGGAATTAGGACAGGGGTTCCTCCCCTGAGTGGGGCCACACACCCTTTGAGAACCTGCTTCTCTCCCCCAAACACTGCAGGTGCGTGCTCTGGTACACATATGCCCTGGGGCACTTGGAGGGGGTAGAAACCCCTGCTTCAGGAGAAGGGTAGAACCCAATAACTGCTGGAGGCTCTCCCACCCCCTCCCCCGCTTTCTGCACCACATCAAACCTCAGCACAGGTTTCCTGCCGCTGGTTGGCGGTCACGATCAAGTTGGTGACTACGAAGAAGACGTTCTCTCCCTGAGGAGCCAGAGAGGAGTTGAGGGACATCCTCCTGCCCTCTTGGAGACCCTCCTTCCCAGCGCTTCCTGGCAGGGGTTGGGTCTCTGCGTGGGTGTTGAGGACAACGGGGCCACAAAATCAGTGGATCCTACCCATCTGCCCACTGACTTTGAAGTCTCTGAGCAGACATCCTTTGAGAGGTCCCTTTCAGGCCCACAATCCCAAACTGCTCCCTCCACGAATTCCTATTCTGACCTCAGTCGCCGGGATCCAAGCCCAGATCTGGGAGAAGAGGCCCGGACAGGGTGGCCCAGGCCCTGGCCCAGGCCAGTTGTGAGCAGGCCAGGGAGCCCTTCCCAAGCGCAGCCAATGGCTAACACAGGGAAGCAGTGCTCTGTGCCAGGCCACCTGACTCACACTGACCTGAACGTTCTTGGGGCCCCATTTGGTTTCTACAGGCTCGGGGTTTATTGGGAAGGGACTGGTCTCATAGGCACAGTCAAGGAGAGCAGGGGGTCGGTGTGGAGGGAAGGCTCCGGGCAGGGTCTCCATCTGCAAACTCTGGCAGCTGTCCTGGGCCAAGGGAGTCCCTAGGTACCTGAGCACCTTCCTATGTGACCCCCCCGCCAAGCCAGGCCCTGCTAGCCCGGGCCCTAGTGCTGTGTGGGACTCAGACCTGGGGTGGGATGACATAGTCAGCAACATCCCAGAGCCGCTCCCCAAGCTCCGATGTGTTGGTGAAGGTCACACCCTTGACTTTGGTGACAATGCTGCTCTGCAGGGAGGTGTCAGTGTCTTGGTAACCCTTCTTCACCAGGAACACCCAGCTGCGGGGAAAAGGTCGGCAGGTGCGCATCAGCCTCATTGCTGTCCTCAGGGAATGTCCCCCAGGGGCTTCACCTTTCCCACCAGCTCCTGGGCAGGGGTCACGACTCCACTGCTGCCTAAAACCGGGTTCTGCAAGCAGCAGAGGTGACAAACAATCCCAGAACAGGGAGACAGCTACTCTCAGGGGCGGAGGCCCTGAAAATGGCCCAGGCTGGGCCAAAACCTGCTCATGCATGCACTGGGGATGTGAACTCGGGAGAGGCAATGAACTCTGGGAGTTAACACAGGGTAACAGTGCCTCCCCCCAGGGGTGTGAGGACAGTTAAAGGAGACGGTACATAACCTGAAACTATTCACGGACAGACCACAGACAAATCCAAACTAAGGGGCATTCTACAAAATGAGAGTACAAATCCTACATTCTTTGACACCCCAAACACACACAATAAAAGAAAAAACAGATAAGTGGAACTTCATCAAAATTAAAAACTTTTGTGCAAAAAAAATAAAAAACAAAAAATAAATAAAAACTTTTGTGCATCAAAGGACACTATAAAGAAAGTGAAAAAATAATGCACAGAATGGGAGAAAATATTTGCAAATCACATGGTCAGGGTCTAGTACCCAGAATATATAAAGAACTCTTACAACTCAGCAATGAAAAAGACAAATAACCCAATTTAAAAATGGGCCAAGGATTTGAGTAGATATCTTCTCCAAAGAAGATAAACAGATGGCCAATAAGCCCATGAAAAGACACTCAATGTCGTTAGGCATCAAGGAAATGAAAATCAGAACCACAATGAGATACTACTTCACACCGAAGAAGATGGCGGTAATTAAAAAATATATAAAGGAAAATAACAAGTGCTGGTGAGGTTGCAGAGAAATTGGGACTCGCTGATAGGAATGTAAAATGGTGCAGCTGCTGTGGGAAACAGCTTGGTAGTTGACCCAGCAACTTCCTGCCAAAATATATACCCAAGAGAACTGAAAACATATAACCACACAAACACTTGTAATGAATGTTCTTAGTAATGTTATTCGTGACAGCCAAAAAGCAGGAAACAGGGGCGCCTGGGTGGCTCAGTAGGTTAAGCGTCTGCCTTCAGCTCAGGTCATGATCCCAGGGTGCTGGGATCGAGTCCCACATTGGGTTCCTTGCTCGGCGGGAAGCCTGCTTCTCCCTCTGCCTCTCCCCCACTCATGCTATCTCTCTTTCTCAAATCAATAAATAAAATCTTAATAAAAAAAAAGGTAGAAACAGTCCAAATGTCTGTCAACAGATGAATGGATAAACAAAATGTGAGTATTATTCAGCCATAAATGCAATGAAGTACGGATTCACGCTATAGCATGGATAAACCTTGAAAACATTATGTTAAGTGAAGAAGCCAGACCAAAAAAAAGACCACATGTTGTATGATTTGATTTATATGAAATGTCCAGAAGAGGTAAATCTATAGAGACAGAAAGTACATTAGTGGTTGCCAAGGGATGGGGGTAGGGGAGAATTCTGACTGACTGCTAATAGATATGGGTTTCTTTTTGGGGTGATGGAAATGTTCTGAAATAAGACAGTGGTGATAGTTGTACAACATTATGAGTGTACTAAAAACTACTGAATAGTATAATTTTAAATAGTTGAAATGGTGAATTACATGCTAGGTGAATTTTACTTCAATTAAAAAGTTGTAATAAAATAAAAATCCTGTACTTTTCAAAAAACATCAGTGTCAGGAAATACAAAGAGTCTCAGGTACAATTCCAGGTTAAAGGAGACCAAGAAGACAAAATGAATGAATGAATGCAAGGCAGGATTTCAGATATATATATATTTTTTGCTATTAAATGTAATTATTAGAGCAATTTACAAGAGGTCCATAGGTTAAAAAATAATATTGTTTCAGTGTAAATTACCTAATTTTCATAGCTGTACTTGGTTAAATAAGAGAATTCCTTGGTTTTTTGTTTTGTTTTTTTTTTAAAGATTTTATTTATCTATTCATGAGAGACAGAGAGAGAGAGGCAGAGGGAGAAGCAGGCTCCCAAGGAGCAGGGAGCCCGACGCGGGACTCGATCCCAGGACCCTGAGACCATGACCCGAGCCGAAGGCAGACGCCCAACCATCTGAGCCACCCAGGCGTCCGAGAATTCCTTGGTTTTAAGAAATACGCACTGAAGTCTTTAGTAGTAAAGGGGCATAATGTCTGCAACTTACTCTTTTTTTAAAAAGAGTTATTTATTTATTTGTTTGTTTGTTTATTTCAGAGAGAGAGTGCAAGTGGGGGCAGAGGGAGAGGGAGAGAGAGAGAAGCAGACTCCCCGATGATCAGATCTCACACCCGCAGACCATGACCTGAGCCGAAATCAAGAGCCAGACGCTCGGGGCACCTGGGTGGCTCAGCCGTTAAGCGTCTGCCTTCGGCTCAGGTCATGATCCCAGGGTCCTGGGATGGAGCTCCGCATCGGGCTCCCTGCTCGGCGGGAAGCCTGCTTCTCCCTCTCCCACTCCCCCTGCTTCTGTTCCTGCTCTCGCTAACTCTCTCTGTCAAATAAATAAATAAAATCTTTAAAAAAAAAAAAAGCCAGACGCTCAACCGGCTGAGCCACCCGGGCGCCCCTGCAACTTACCTTAAACAGAAAAAATTGC